GTACTGGCTTGATAGAGACGGTTAAAAGCATGTAAAGCTCTGTTTAGACGTTAGCCAGTCGTCTTAGGACTTAGTTTTATTTTCCGTCGATATGTATCTTCCGGGCGAATGTTACAGATTTTGACTGGAATACGTGATGAAGGGACTCCTGACTGTAACCTCGGTTACTATGATAGTTTTGAACCCCTGATTACCAATTTTTTTTAAATCTTAGGGAACTAAAGCAGTTGTCTATTAGATTTTTTTTCACAGTTAACTGGTATTTTTGTCTCGCAATGAATGCGAAGCTCCACTTTGCCTTTCTACAGACTAATATCTACATAAAAGTTCAAATAAAGTGCAATCTTTCAGATGGCTTGATCTGGAGGAAAATTATGATTAGTCTCGAGATCTTGGCAAAAGCCGTCAGCCTAAAGGCGGCCACAGATGAGTTAACCCTGACGGAGACGATCAGTAAAGCCGTACTGCTACCTAAGCCGAACTTTCTTGGTCTGCGTTACGACGACCATTCCTACTGCCTTCCCCGGGGTTCATCGGCTACAGATGGCGATGATGTAAATAAAACTGTGAAGCGAAGCACGCCGAGTGTTTCCGATCATTCTTATTCAGAACAGAATTCGAATGTTTCGTTGGATAATTTTTCGTCTTGCTTAGTTTCTTCTCTTAACGATGTGCCCGTGCTTATCGCTGGACGACGTATCGCATGTGGCGACATTCTGATGTTCTGCAAAAAATTTGGCAATTACTGGAAGGAGTTTTTTGGATCGCAAAGCAATCTGCTCCAAACTGAACCCCAAAAGATCAAGTTACCTAAAGGGTTTTTATTAAACGACGATGAACATGCCACAAATGTCGAACAAGATGTGCAATTGGCGGCAAGATCGACAAGCCCGAATGCAGTGATTTACGCTCACCTTGTTGACAATAGTCTGCAAATGTATTTGATTGCCAAGAGAAAAATTAAAAACCATGAGCCAATAACGGTCGCCATGTATAAAGAAAAGTCTATGGAATTGACAAAACCTCAAGTTTCAAACGAAATAAACGACGAAAGCACGATTTCTTCCAGCGCTGATAGCACGCCCAAAAAGTCAACGCCGAAGTCGCGCAAGAGAAAACTCACTTCTAGTTCCGATCAGCGGGCTGACAAGGTTCAATCAGTGTCTCCTGATTCAACCACTAAAGTTTACGGAAACATCAATTGGAACTTGAACAGAATTGATTCGGAACAAGAATTCAAGCCAGAAGTTAAAGAATGCAACCTTGAATCTGGGTCACCAAAAACCAAAAAAAGACGAACATCTATTAAAGAAAAAACTGTGGGAACCTCGAGCAAACCGTCCGCCAAATTGTCACGAGAGGAAAAGAAGATGCAGCATTACATGAAGATGATAGAAAAGATGGAACGGAAAGAGAAGCGAAAAGAAGTTACAGTGAAAGTTGAAGACGAAAATGTTGTTTCATCAACAACAGAAGTTAATGAATGCAATATAGAAACCCAATTTAGTGCAAATAGTTCCAGCGAGGATGACAAATTATTTCATGGAAACGAAACGTCTGTTGTGGTTTCCTCAGTTTCTGAGTTTGTAAATTCCAATGACGGAGTCAAGTTGGAAGATGACAATGAAGCAACATTGAACATCGAGTTTAAGGATCTGCATTTCAAAAAACGAAGAAGTAAAGATTTTTCAATATCAAGTACGGATAACGATGAAAAACCTGTAAAAACGCCAATCGATTTGCAAAAAGACCTCAAAATGACCGAATTTGAAATTGAACAAGGAACCAATGAAATTAAAATGGAAGCAGAGATAGCTGTTAATCAAGTTACCTCGAACGAGATGGATAATTGTGTTGGAAGTGAAATATCTTCGGCATCAGAAACAGTCGTAAAAACAGAGCCCAAACTTGAATTGAAGACCGAAGAAAGTAGCGAGGAATCCGATTCGGATAGCGACAGTAGTAGTTCTTCGAGTTCCGATTCCAGTGAAGAATCAGATGTTGAAACGAATCCGACAACTAAACTTGAAAAGAGTGGTTCGAGCCCAGAAATAAAATCCTTACCAGATAGCAAAACAAATGAACCACAATTGCAAACATCGAAAGAGAATAGAAAAGCAGGCGTAAAGGGGAAAGGCAGAATAACCAACCGACGAAGAGGAAATGCTTGTAAGGGAGCGAATCTAAGAAACATGAAAGTGAAAAGTAGTGGTAAATCCAGCTCGGATCTTGTGCTTGCTAAATATCATCACAGATACGCTGCTGCTCCGAAATCGAAGTACTTGACCAGAGGCAATCTGGTTAAGGAAACTAAAGAGGTTGAGGAGACAATAATTCCTCAATTAAACAAGGTCAAAGAAATCGATCCCAAAATTGAAGAAAAACCAGTGACTGGTGCGTTGAAGTGTATCAAAATGAAGAAAATGTTTCTAAATGAATGGATCAACGAACAAGCACAAGAGAAAGTGGAAACAGCTGCTGCACATGTAGCGAATGACGAAAATGCGAACAATCTTAGGAAAACTAAATCATGTGGTGATGATCAACTGATTACTAAACATGAAGAAATTGTGATCAACGATACTCCAGTGAAGACATCTATCAAAGATTCCTACATAACATCAGCTAAGAAAAGATGGCTTCAAAAGGCTATAAAATCAACAGAGAAGACCGAGTCGATCGCAATAGACCAGCCTTCTAAACCAGCAAACCATATTAAAGTTAGAGCTCATAAAATATCAGAAAGCTATGAAGTAACAGAGAACAACAACATCTCAGACTCATTTGATAACGTCTTTTTTGAGCCTCCTGTTTCGATGAAGAAGAAAATGTCACTTTCCGAGTATAAAAAGCGACGCCATAATGACACTGAAGAGTTTGATAGAGTCGAAGATTTTCGTGATATTAGAACGCCAACTCGAACGCCTTTTATCGAAACCAAAACCCCAGAAGCAAAAGTACAAGAAGATAGCAATGATAAGGTCCTTCTCATGCCGCTTGAAGCAATAAAAAACAAAAACAATGTTAAACCAGGTCACAGAGAACCGCAATCTTTACAGGAGCGAAAGAAAATAATCCATGAAAATCTTAAACGAGAATTAGAAAAGCTGAAGTTCCGGAATACAGGAGTAGACGGAATCGAAAATCTGAGACGAGAACTAGCAGAAGAGCAAGAATCAGTGGGAAAAAGTGGGAGTTGCAGTGACCTCGAAAGAAGTCCAATTATAGCAGGAGTGATGAGAGCCTACAAGGCATCAACTCCGAAACATTATTCATCGAACATTGAAAATCACCACATAGCAGAACTGAACCAACTAGTTGAATCATTTACAGAGAATTCAAATGCAGATCAGGTTGATCTAGAAACATTGAATGTAGAGGTTTCAGAGAAAGAAAGTAAATTCGACGAATTGGATAGTTTGATTCCAGACGAGAATTTAGAAGGAAGTTTGAACGAATCGGCATTTGTAGACGCGACTCAGATAGCCTCTTTGACTGTAAAAAAGAAAAGGAAGAAACGTCACCGCGTAGAGTCGCCACCCCCTCCCCCACCACCACCGATGCCCGCTCCGCAGATGAACTCGAACCCTATTCCAAATGACGGAACTCCGAGAACTGGGTTACCGGATGCTAACTCGATTGTTACGCGGTTCCATCCTGCGCATCAACAGTTAACAGAACAAGTGTTGGCAACTCCAGCAGGTCATCCTGGTCAATTGCCTTGCTCGGGTGCAGTCTTATTACCCAATGGAAGTTGCGCGGTTACCCCTGCAGGCCAGTTTGCAATGCAACAACAGCCGACTACTAGTAATGCAATGTTGCAACAGCAGTCTTTACTACCCATTCCAGTGATTATACACAGCGGAACCTTACCAGCCCAGCCTACATTCATTTTTCAGCAAATTCACGAAAATAAACCGTAATTTCGAGAAGTGAAAAATAAGCTCTGATTTTTGAGTGAAACTTCTGATGTAATATGTGAACTGTTAAATAAAAAAACTGATTTATAAATCAAAACTTTATTTCTGCCTTCTGTTGAGTTCAAAACAAGTATTTAATTTGTGCAAAAGTAAAAGTGAAAATTTGAAAGGAAATATTAAGATTAATCTAGGAGACCGAGGGTAACATTGAATTATTTGCCGTTTTAGTACTGTTCATATTCATCTGATGATATTTGATTTGTAGTAGTTGTACTGCTCTTTAACCTCTGACTTGACGATGAATGGTCGAAAGAAGATATTAAAAGGAAATGAATGGTTTAAGTTTTAGTCAAAAGCGGTTATCCATATTTGATGTTTTTATTTTTATTCTATTTAAACTTAGTACACCTGTGTAGTAGATGAAGTAGTATAAAGCCTATAAAATTATTTCGTTCCTTATAAATTGTGTTCAAATATACTGATATTACTGATAATTAAATAAACCAGTAGTAATAATTCGGTACGAATCTTAATCAATTTGCAATTACACCCTTACCTAATATGTGCAGACTATAAATTATACGGTCTCCGCCTTAACCCAAAAACGATAAAATTTCAGAGGATTTATTCAGTTTTTGTTCAGTTTTTGTTTATTTGTTTGTTTCTTCAATTGTTGATTTAAAGGAACTGCTGTTATTGTATATGTACTACTGTCTTCTTTTGCAAGCCAATGGCACAAATTGTTTGAGATTTTATTATGATAGTTTAGAACAAATTTTTATTTACGCCATTTCTTTTCACACCTTGAAACCTTGTCGGAAAGTTAAGTAGAGTTCAATTAAGAGTTGAGTACAAAAATGGTTCGTTGGCCCAACTAAACTATAACAAGTAGCGCTACAAAAATGCCTGAAAAGTAAAAATAAAAGTTTTGCTTTTTCAACTGGTGAATTCTAGTAGCATTTTTATTGTGAAATTAAATTGAAAAAAAAAAATGTTCTAATCTACAAATTTTTTCTTGGCCTCATTATTTTTTGTGTTCCCGGCGCTTTTTTGCTTTGAATTAAATTTTATTTCAGATGACTTCAAAAATGACAAATCGGACTATAGATGATCAATAGCAATTTAGCGCCGCTGTTTCAACAGAATCGGACTAGACTGGTTAATTAACTAATTAGAGATGACAGCTTCCACTTCTGATGCACAGACACCACAGCCTAGTGCGTCCACATCAGGAGTGCAGCAGCAGTCGATTAGGAACCCATTCATTCCTTCCGACCGACTCTTTCTAGGTACTCTTTACCTCTCCACAAGTGTCTGTCTGTGTAATCCAATCTTAAAGAGCAAATTCGTTACCAACTGCCAAGTTTTTTTATATGCTTAGTTTGAAACATACGCTGATAATCAACAAACCGCCATAACTTGGAGTGGAAATTGCATCAGAATTACGTAACAATTGCATAACAACAATGACATTCTGTTGTTATGCTGCACAATATTAGTTTTTGGCTTGTTGACCCTTCGGCTTGTTGGACTACCACCAAAAAATAGATTATGCTACAGTGCTGATTTAAATTAACCAGACCAAACTAATTTAAACACTTTTTTCTCAAATTGGGGATAAAATTAGACAAAAAATGAAGAGAGCAAAAGTTGCTTATAATTTCATTAGAATTATTATGATGCAGTTCACTTTTCGAAATTGGCAACCAAAATTTTACCCCAAAATTGGGTGCTTGTGACTTTTTTAAATATGTTTAGTTAATCAAGAGGCGCTGAAACTACCACATACCGAACTAATATCGAGAGAAGCCTCTTATACAGCCCAACGAAGTGCTAGAAGGATAAATTTTCCAAAAATCCGTACAAAACGTTCGGAGATTTTGCTCGTAAAGAGCTTTGTTGAGATGTATAAGAGGATTCTTTTGAACCCAATTGTTCGTCAATTAATGTGGGACTTTCAGCGTAATTGTTGAAAGCTAAAAGAGCCAAAATGATCCATTCTTGGGTAAAATATTGGTTGTGAATTTTGAAATTGAATTGCACCATAATAGTTCTGTTGAAATTCTAAGCAAGCTTTATTATCTTCTCTTTTTGTCGTACCTCAACCCAAGTTTCAAATGTTCGTTTTGTCTGGATAATTTAAATCAGCACTGTATCATTTTTCAAATTCCTATGTGATTTTTTTTCGTACCTCGAACGTAAAATGCAGCATTTCAATGACGAATTTTTGGATTGCATCTCTCACTCTTCGTTGTGTAATTTTGAAAAAGGTACAACATTGGGCCAAATTAAACGCAAATTTAGGTTTTTAATGTAAAAATGCTTTTTTTAAAGGAGCGTTAGGTTATTATGCACTAAATGGTCCAAAGTAAATATTTTTATATCTTGAGCTGAAATTTCTGCAATTGAATCTGATTGGCTAGTTTTAGCGAATCAATTTCAAGCAACGCGGCTTTTCAATTGACATTTCTAGGAGATTAGCCGAAGGTACCGAAAATGTGGAAATACGTCAAATGATCAAATTAATCTCACGTGAAACTTTGCCCAGACAAGGAAGTACAGTGAAGTATTCTTAAACGGAACAAAAGATCCATATGTATGGTCATTTTGTCGAATACTTTTGTCTGCTTGAAATTTTTAAAATGATTGAAATATCGGACCAGGTTGTGGATTTGACTGGATAAAAAGCCAATCAGATTCACCACAATAATTTCAGATCAAGACGTAGCAATAGTGAATTTGGGCCGTTTAATGCATAAGACTCCAATTTTGGACATTTTTTACTTAGTAGCTTAGCAAAATTTTAGTATCGATAATTGGGGCAGTACAACAGTGCCGAAAACTGATGATTTTCGGCACTGTTGAACTATAATTTTATTTTCGGCACTCTTGTACTTCGGCACTGTTGAACGCCCATCTAAGGGCAGCACAGCAGTGCCGAAGTACAAGAGTGCCGAAAATAATTTTATTGTTCAACAGTGCCGAAAATCATCAATTTTCGGCACTGTTGAACACTTTTTCATTTTCGGCACTGTTCTACTTCGGCACTGTTGAACGCCCCCCGATAATTATGATCTGAACTGCCCTCTCTGAAAGTCTCAAATTTTGATTTGAAGCCCTCTCCTGTTTATGCCGGGTCTGAAAATGCCAGTTTTTACCCCCTTATAATGGTTTTATTCAACGCTGTGAAGCTATCAGACCACCAATTTGAAGAAAGTTGTTACACTGAACATCGCATAATCAATTTTTTCTACTCGTTGATTCAAAAAAATGTTCACTCCCATAGAAAACCTATTACAATAGTGACAACTGGCATTTTCAGACCCCGAATAAACTGGTAAGTGCAAATCAAGTATTGAGACTTTCAGAGAGAGGAGAGAGAGTAGTTTAGATCCTTTGCTCTCGGTCGATCGAAATATTTGATAAAATTTGACGTAAAAATTTTCCATTGAGAAATATTGAGATTTTTAGAGAGAGTAGTTTAGATCCTTTGCTCTCGGTCGATTGAAGTTTTTGCTAAAATTCGACAAACATTTTCAAAATTTTTTTGAAATGAGACTTTTTGGAGAGTAAAAATCTGAGTTTTTGTTCAATTTTGTCCATTGGTGTATACAAAAGGCGTCTGGTTGAATGAGGTGGATCCATCTAACTTACCTCTGCTTTTCCTCTTTCTAGACTTCTGCGGCACTGGTGAATCGGCAGACATATGTTCTCCTCTGCTAGCTCAACTGACCATCAAAGAAATGCCTTCTTGCGTGTTTCCGTCATCGCCTTGTGCAGATATTCCCGAGTTCGGAAGCTATCCTCAACATCAAGCGCAGATTGGGATGGACTACCAAAATAGTTAGTTTTTATTTGTACATCCTTTTACAGCACGGTTGATATGAAGAAAGATAATTAGTGACGCTGTTCATTTTAATGCTTTTGCCCTTTTTGACCCATCCGACCAGGTAGCGGGAATGCACTTAGTATTCGGATGGTGTTTCATTTTTACAGATAGCGATCAGCGTAGTGCATTATTACGAACCTTCTTTTTTTTCTAACCTAAATCGCAAATAAAAGTGTTTATTAAAAGTGTTCGCTTATTTGAAATTTCACTGTAGCATTGAAAATTGCATAGCATCTGTTCTCTGCTTTATTTTTGGCTAGTATTTGGTAGCTATTAAGCGTCCGTGGCTGAGTTGTTAGTGTGTGAGACTAAATCTCTTGATCGCAGGTTTGAATCTCAGACGTAGCCGAATTTTCACTAATTCGAGGCTTATTTCTAATTTTTCCTATTGCAGAGCTGCTTTTTGTCGTGTCTCGATAGTGTTTGTGAAGCGAAGCATCGCCTCTGTGTCAAAATCAGCTACGAATTTTGACGATTTCCCAATTTAACTCCACTGTTTTTCTACATAAATTTAGATATTAATACCTCACACTCGTGTAGTTCAAAACAAAAATAACTTTCAGTATTAAAAGTTCATCACTTCATTTTAAGGAATAAATTTTGAATAAAAATTTGGCAATTTTAAAAAAAATCTGTTTTTGAAAAAAATGTCGGATTAGTCCGTGCTTCTTGCACAGCAATCAAGTATTCTTTTTTGCTGAACTTTTTTAATCTATTCAGGATAATATACTGCATGATCATTTATTAAAAACAGCAATTGAGATCTGGAACTTTTATTATCTGTCATGTTCCTCGTGTTGAATCAAGTCTTACAGCTAGTGAGGTGAACTTCTGAGGAGCTGTGTATCATAACCGATTTTGTAGAATCGATAACAAGGTTTTTCACGGACCTTGTTTTGAAAATATGAAGCTGCAAAAATAAATCACTGGCAAGCAAAAACCGGTGTTTTCTGAAGTTCTTACGGAACCAATCAAAACAAACCATCGGTTCTCCAAAATTGACATAAGGCAAGCAAGCTGTAGAATATGAATGGTATTGGACTTTTAGACTATGTACGACTTATACCTTTTCTAAAATTTGAGTGTTTTGAATTATTTTGCACGTTATAGTTATTTCAGTTTTTTTTTATTTTTCTTTTTTAGTTCATGTTATTCCAATTAATTAGGCGGATTTTCCAGCTTTGCATGTAAACAGCTTGCTTCTAAATCAACCGTTGCAATTGCCACATTATAGCCGGTCTCATTTTGCAGTTGTAAACTTAAAAAAATAAACAAGGGGTTGTGTGATTCCTAAACATAAAACTTAGATGCGGGCGGTTCTTAAAAATAGTTCTGCTGATATCGGTTGTGACTGTCTCAGAGATTTGTCCGCTATGCTGATTTCGTCGTGGGTTCATATTGTTGATGCTGGTTGTTTGTTGATGCTGATGTGTCTACTGATCTTGCTTATAGTTTTTATGGGTTGATATGTTGCTGCTGCTGTTAGTTGTTGCTGAAATTTCATGCGTCTGCTGATCTTGCTAAAAGTTGTTGTTGGTTAATGGTTTTTGGGTGAACAACATGTTTAACAGAATCACTTGGTATCTTAGCTCATAATGAATTCAAATTTCTCAAGCGTCTGCGGCACTCTTATTTTAGAGGTAACGAATACGCCTGTGACGGCGAAGGTCCTTGGTTCAAACTTGACCAGGACTGGTGTTTTTTCAAGCGAGAAATATTCCGTTTCAAATTGTCGGCTTATAATTTGTCCGCTTATTTTCGGTCGGCTTAGTTGTCACATCTAAGGATGTTTTTGCCGTATGCAGTTATCATTGTTGTTGTTTTTTATGTTTCCATTTACTCCTGCTATTGGTAATTCTACTAGCCTTGACTTCGTATATTTTATTTTATTTTATTTTTCGCTTTAAAATGTTTCGGCCCAGATGGTTTGGGCCTATTTTTCATCGTCTATCTAAGCTAATACTGGTTTGTTCGCAGGAACCCTATTTTGTAAGCTTCACTCCGGATCGTACAAAACGTTCGAAATCTCTGAATACATTTTTTAGTTCTAAGGTTTTCATGCAACAATTTTATTTTCGCTTGATACATGATTTTGAATTTTCATTAAACGCAGGCGAATATATTTCTTCATATGTTTTTTAACTAGAAAATTGTTCCAGACAACATTTCGAAGATTTTAATTGTGGTTTTTTTTGGAAGTTTTCTGTTTTCTTTGGACTTGGTGGCTCTCTTTTCCTGTGTGGTAGCTTGCAATGCTATTTTTTTGGTCTATGTGTCCGAAGTTCTGCGTGATGTTGTCCAGGTTTTTTGCCGTATCGTTTTTTTATAGTTAGAATGTGCAATTAGGTGCGAAGCATGTGTTTCTTGCGTTTTGTCCTGAAGTATTGTCCTGATGGCTTCTGTTTGATTTTTGTACGTTGCGTGCTGTGTGATTGGTTATTGAACTCAATGTATCCTGGAATCTTGAGTTTCCTGCGGCGATTCCAAATGCGTTGTTGTGTTTGAATCCGGTCTCGAATTGGGTCTAAGTCAACTGTTGCAATCTGCATGTTACACACGCAATAACTACTGTGATTTAAAAAGTGTTCTGTCAATTTCTGCTCGAAAAATCAATCAAAGCGGAAATAACATCCATTATTGAAAAGAGGCTGAATTATTCCACAGATTTTTCTTGTTTGACTATATTAAGCACTTTCCTTTCTTTCATCAATCTGAAACGATCCTGTTGAACTGTTGTGTTTGCGTTTAGATCATGGCAAGCAAGCGAAGAAAAAGTTCCGAGTGGGTAGGCTAGAAGGACTCAAAGCAGCTCACATTTGGTGTCAAGACTACAAAGGACGTCTTCTACGCAAAGCTGTACAGAACGAAGACATAGCAGGTAGTCAGTTGTACAAATTGAGATTTTTTACATAGTTTTAATTTTTTTAAAAAATATTTGTGTTATTTGACGTGTGTTTAATCAAATGATGTTTTAAATATTTCATAACAGTCATTGATTGTTAAATATTTCTAGCCTGGACAACTTAATGTATACTTCTCTCGATACTGTTTGAGCGAATTTTCATTTTTTTTAAAACAAATTACTGTAGACTCCATGTGGTAATAAAATTGTTCTGTTAAATAACGTAGATTTGATCAATAATTTGAAAATATATCACTTGAGAAAAAACTTTTGGAAAAGTTCTGGTTGTTTTTTTGTAAAACATTCATAGAACAATTAGAAAAAGAAATAGAAAAACAATTTCTTGACAACCTGCCTGCAGTCTTAAATTAATTTTGAAAGGAGAAGTGACACGGTTCACATCTAAGACGTATCGCCCTCGTGTTCTTTCTTAAAGGTGTTTATGCAAAATGTTGAGAGCGAAACGTGCGAAATAAGGTGCTAAAATCAACAGGGGCAAAGGTAATGTAGACATTAAATAGTATCCAGAATTTGTTTATATTCAATTAATGGTTGGGCTCATTTTACCTGTTTTTTGTCCCGCAATCTGGTTTTCAAAATAAGAAAGATTATGTTAGGGGGTCAGTTGAGATAATTACACTTCCGATTAGCAAGCCTTACCGATTCGGAGTTTTCAGATGTATTCTTTTTGGTTCACATATAGGTTAACAGCTAATTGGGTTCGAATGCGGGGACGAAATTTTTTTTGAAAAAACAGGCCAAAAAAGGCGTTTTTAGGCACTTGTTGAAAAAATTTGACCAAAAAATTGCATTTTTTGGCGCGCGCTCCAACTCAAAATTAGTATATTTAGTAGCTTTTAGAAAAATTTACGATCCGTCAGCGAAAATTGGATATCTCAAGGTAGTGCAAAGGGGGTACCCTTTGAGTCGGCAAAGGGTCGAATCCCTGAAGGGGTACATTCCCCGCCCCCTAAATCCGCTGGTGATTAGGATCCAAGAAAATTGATGAAATTATTGATATTTGATTCAACTAATTTTCGTTCACGATTTAAGATTTTTCACTTTTTTGGTTTTCGATTTATTCTCTATTCAGAAGAAATTAATGATCGGTATGAAGTAATGAAAAGTAACTTTTGAATATTGTTGTTCCGATCATTGAAAATGGGGAAGAATTTTGTATTCGGGTGTGTTTTATTTTTTTTCCTTTTTGTTTTCCACGCAAAATCAGCTACCATAAATAATCATCAAACAGGATTGAGTGATGTTTCATATTAAAGCCCTTTTGGTCATGATTTGAACCACATTTATAAATTTCCAAAAATTTATCCCCGTGTCGAGAAAAACCGGCTTGAAATTTTTTGTCTTACTTCGAGCGATTAAAGCAAGCGAGCAGTCCTTTTTTGTTTTCCTCGCAAAATCAGGTACAACAAATAATAATTGGACTGGGTTGAGTAATAAATTATATTAAAGCCCTTTCAGTCTTGATTCGAACGACATAAAAAATTTTGAAAAAGTTTTCTTGGTGATTTTTTGTCTAATTTTGAGCATGTGAGCAAGCTTACAAGTGCTATATTTTGGCATATGTTCTTGTTTTGCAAAAGGTGCGAAGCTCCGCTCGCCTCTGTGTAAAATATAGATCTTGCAGTTCTGAGTCAATTTGCGTAAAGAAGTATTGAATCGCCTGTCAATTGTCAAGAATGGAAAAACCCGCAAGGTTTGAATAGTTGCAACTATATTTGCCGTTGGAACACTATGAAAGAAAGAAGGAATTTATTTCTCACGAGTTAAAGTAAATTCAACATGTATTTACACAGAATTATTTTTAATTTAATCCCGAGAGGACAGCAAACGTGCCCCTTTACGGTCTCAAAATGCTGCCGCAAGTTAGCATAATAATACATTTTTTAATCATCAAGGTTTATAACAATTAAGCACATCATAAACAGAAACAAAAAAAAACAAAAGTTAGGATTTCAAAATATGTCTCTTAATTGAACATTTCTCACAATTGGTGGATTAGTGAATCAACCTCGATTGAGTAAAAAGAAATAGGAAACCAATGCGGAAGGAAATGTTCCATTTGATTTCGATAATTTTGCTTTTGATCGGGTTAAAATTAGTTTTTTTAATTAAATTTGGGTCCGAAAACTCGCTAGTCGTAGGCACCTTAATCCGTTTTTGATAAATTTCTTGAATTTGTTCAATTTTACATTGCTGCTTCTGCTAACTGTGACATGTTCTTATGTACTGCTTGTACAGCAATCTTCTGTTCTTGTTTCTAATTTAACCCCAAGCGCTATCGCTTATTCTAGTGGATGAGGTGGGTTAATCAGACTTCAAGATAGATAAACGTCCCTTTGCGAAAGTCCTTTTTCTCAAATTGATACCATTTCTCGAAATGCGCTAAATCCCAGGTACTGTTAGGAAAATGTAATTATGAAAATTTAGTTTATGGCTTTAATCAAGTTATATAACATGATTTATAGTCGTTCTCCAATCAAAGTTCTGGTATAATAAAGTGTTTGTGAAGCTGAAATCTTAAGTCTTTTTTTTCTTCAGGTATTCAGGACCTGATAAACGAAGGTGTGCATGTAGACAACTGTGATGAAAAGCAGAGAACGGCCTTACATTTAGCTTGTGTGAAAGGCAACAATACAATAGTGTCATTTCTCCTCAGCCATGGTGCTAACCCCAACTGCAAAGATGTTAACCTCAATACACCTCTAATGCTAGCTTGCCTATCCAGAAATATTCCTACAATCACACTGCTGCTGAAGAAAGGAGCGAACCCTAATTTATGTGACTCGAAGGGCAACAACGCTCTAAATATAGCCCAAAACAGACTTACCCATTTGCAGCAATGCCAAGTTGCTTGTGAGTATTTGCGTGACGAATTGATGCACATTATTACAATGATTCGAGAGTTCATCCATCGAAGTGAACAAATTCAAAATTCCAGTAATTCTCAAGTATCGAGAGTGCATGATCTAAGTGCAGCTCCTTCACGTGGAAATAATGAACCAAGGTCAACTAATTCCTCCTCCTTAGAAGAGTTGCATATTGAAACTCTAATTAGCAAACTGTCTTTTTCGTCGGACAGTAAATCTTCAGATGAAAGCCAGAATATAACGAGGCAAGTTGCAGATGAATTTCAGGAGCTGTTGGTGAAATTCAGTTCACATGTTAAGGTGTCCTAATTTGTAAATTTCTGTTTTCTAGTTAATTTAATTAGTAAGGGGTGGGAATTAAGTGTTTTCGAGTTTGTACAAGGGATAATTAAAACAATTCCAATAAGTTTGCAAATTGCAATTAGTTACAACCATATGAAAATTACAATTTTTGGCGTCGACTGCAGACAGATGCGTTTACTTATGATTGGATTTGAACGTGTGTTATCCCTTGTGTAATAAAAGACATCTATAAATTGTATTCTGATATCTAGGTAGACTCTTGTTAGTTGTCAGGTTGTTTGTAGAAATCTATTTTAATTCAATTGTTTCTAAACCATCTTTTCATTTTTAACTTTCAATGAACGTGGTGAAAACAGTTGTTTAAGTCGCGTCGATGTTTTTGGATCTACGTAACAATCCCCGTCGTTTGCATTTTCCAAAGCTGAATTTTTAATAACATAAAAGAATCGTAATCGTGATAGAAAATTAAATGTGGCAAGTAAAATTACTGCATTCATTTTCAAAAAAAAATACTGAAAACAGATGTAGTACAAATTATTGAAATGCAAAATTGAAACGTGGCCCCCAGAGGGGGGGGGGGGGCTGCGGTTCTTCCATAGGTCCTAAAGAGAGGGGTGATTGTTAAGTAGTTACATTTTTTTCAGGATAAAAGTCGCGTTCAATTTTGATCTTTTACAGTTTGACTTTTGACTTCTCTTCAGCTCAAAGTAATTTGCTAAAAAAAAGGCAATTCCGCTCTTCATTTTTGAAAGCAGAGATGGCGCGATAAGAGCTGAAAGCCTTTCAGTTTCGAAAGTGAATTTAATTTCTTAGATTTCGCGGCACTTTGAACAGGCTGGATAGCCTTCAGTGTCCGCCCAAGCTGGCGCTCTTCAAATGTTAAGCTATGTTTTATGCATTTGTGTAGCGCATATAGCTTGAAAACAATTTTATTTTTATTTCCCAGCGGAGTAATAAAATTACCTATTGACCCAGTTTTCTCGAACTGAGTCAATTTTATGACATAAGTTCCGAGCATAAAAGATTCTCGCGATTCCATTTTGTCTGCTTAAGTAACCTGCAATAGTTATATATTTTTTGAGTTTAATCAATTGTTAAATAATCCAATTTTATCTTTACTTTTATGAAACAGCTTGATACATTTTTTGGTTACTTAGAAAAAAAAGTGAGCCGTTGAATCTTGTTTGGTTCCTGTTAAAATAAAGGTTCAAATAATTTCTCAGATATTTAACTCTGTAGCAGGCTAATTCATATCCAGTTTTTGATTCCAAATTATCTTGACTAAAACCGATTTCAAGTTGAAATTTTTCATCGTTTTATGCTATTAATTATGAAAGGGAATGCGGACTCGAAATAAGATGACTTGTGCAATAATGATTGGATCTACTTAATAATTGCCTCCCCCTTTTAAGAAAGGGGGGCAATTGTAAAGTAGATTAAAATAACGCATTTTCGACCAATCAGAATGCAGCAAAATTCTAATTCTCAATAGAAAGCTCAGTGCTAATTTACTGCTTTCATTAATAGGGGTGGCAATTCTTAAGTAGATACCAAGGGGGGGGGGGCAATTGTTAAGTAGATCCTAATGAGTTAAGTTGAATATAAATATTCGATTTGATTTCATATTTTAAAAAAGCCACGATTGCAATGTACGGCTTTTTCAGACCTCTTGGAAGCAATAAATGTTAGATTGCCAAGCAAATTATTTTCTTGAAGCTAATGATTTGTCTTATCAATATTAAAAACAGTTTTTTGTTCTTTATTTTGGCATCTTGTCTGACTGTTTCATTAATTTGCTTTTTTTTTTTAGTTTGAGCTGGGAAATATCAGTATTTCTGTAAACATCGTAAGTAATATTTATCAGACACATTTTAAAATTAATGACTAGTTTTCTTGAATATCCCACGTTTCGCCCCTCTTAAATCTAGTGGCATTTTGCCCGTCTTAAATCTAAAGGCACATTTCACTCCTCACGCATTGCGCCCCTAATATTTTCACATTTCGTCTTCACATGTTTCGCACGTAACTTATTACACAGTTAATTGACCGCCGCTTTCCTAATGTACAATTCGAGGGAGGAAATGTGCCAGTAATTTAATGACGAGCGAATTTAATAACTCTGTACGGGTGCAAAAACTGGGGCCTAGGAAATTAGACGACAAGCAAATTAGACGACCGTAAAGAAACGAAATTTACGGACAACCAGGATTTACTCAGACAAAAGTTAATTCAAGTCTGTACACAAAATTCACGCAAGTTGCATGCAAATTGTCTAAATTGGACACCCAATATTTTCTTAGCCAAAAGATAATTCAAGTGTGTAAATAAGTTTCACGCAATTTGCACGCAAGTTATTGTCTTCCGTTATTTTCTGATCGTCTAATTTCCTGTCGTCTAAGTTCCTAAACCCCGCAAAAACTATTGCAGTGTTTTAAGCGAGTTAATGTATCCAAAAAGAGCGCTCTCCGGTAGCCGAGTATGTTAGCTAATGTTAAGTGGGTTAATTTTTAGTAATCGAGAGATACTAATGTTCGTATTCATGTTCCTTTCGCTATGCTATGTTTTACCCTTTTTTCAGTCGTATTTTTTTGTTTAGCTATGTCAGACTTGTAAATTGACATTTTTGCCCCAATCAGCCCTTAATGCTTTTATTGAATTTTTACTTTGGTTGCTCAAAAAGTTAAATAGTTTTGAGTGGATAAGTTAGTTTAAAGGATTACCTTTTCATATATAGTTTAGGATAATTTCAAGTTCTATAAATTCTGTAAAATTCAGTCAGTTTGCCTCTTTCCAGAAATGTTCATCTTCGACAGTACATCAAAATTGACCTATTCAGGGAAGTATTTCAAAACTGTTCTTTTTTTTGATGAAAGCACTTCTAATCAAGTATCTGAAGGTCGTCTGAAAGATGAAATTAAATTAAACCGGTCAATTGTAAGCTGAATGAAATCTTTTTAATTAAATTTTGTCTTCTGAGTGAGCGGTAGTCGACAGTTTTCATTGTTGAAGTTTGGACTGCATTATTCATCAAAGCAGAAAGCAGATTAACTCTAAGCCCAAATTTATAGTATCTTTAGTCCCTTAAATAGCTTTTATTGTGTTTTTTTATCATCAGAGTCACAAATTTTTTGTTCTGTTTTTCAGATCTTTCTGTCAGAGTCGTGCAGACTTTCTTTCTACCAACTAATCTATCTTTGTCATCAACCTGTTCTTTCTTTAACCAACCTTCATCATGCGTGAATGTATCTCTATCCATGTCGGCCAAGCTGGAGTTCAAATGGGAAATGCTTGTTGGGAGTTGTACTGTCTGGAACACGGAATCCAACCAGATGGACAGATGCCAAGCGACAAGACAGTCGGAGGAGGCGATGATTCCTTCAACACCTTTTTCAGCGAGACAGGTGCTGGGAAACATGTCCCAAGAGCTGTTTTTGTGGACTTGGAACCAACAGTTGTTGACGAGGTTCGGACTGGAACCTACAGGCAACTGTTTCATCCAGAGCAATTGATTACTGGAAAAGAGGATGCGGCTAACAACTATGCGAGAGGTCACTACACTGTCGGCAAAGAGATGATTGATATCGTTCTAGACCGACTACGAAAGCTTGCTGACAACTGCACTGGGCTTCAAGGCTTTCTCGTCTTCCACTCGTTCGGAGGAGGTACGGGATCTGGGTTCACTTCCCTGCTGATGGAACGTTTATCAGTGGATTACGGAAAGAAGTCTAAGCTGGAGTTCGCGGTTTATCCAGCCCCTCAGATCGCATCTGCTGTCGTAGAACCCTATAACTCAATTTTGACAACGCATACTACTCTGGAACACTCCGACTGCGCGTTCATGGTTGACAACGAGGCCATCTACGATATTTGCCGAAGAAACTTGGACGTAGACCGACCTACGTACACCAACTTGAACCGATTGATTGGCCAAATTGTCTCTTCGATTACCGCTTCGCTCAGATTTGACGGTGCTTTGAACGTCGACTTGACCGAGTTTCAGACGAACCTGGTGCCCTACCCTCGAATCCACTTTCCATTGGCAACGTATGCCCCTGTGATCTCAGCTGAGAAGGCTTACCACGAGCAATTGACGGTATCTGAGATAACCAACTCTTGCTTCGAACCAGCGAACCAGATGGTAAAATGCGACCCTCGGCACGGAAAGTACATGGCTTGCTGTCTGCTCTTCCGAGGAGATGTTGTGCCGAAGGACGTCAATGCCGCGATTGCGACAATCAAGACTAAGAGGTCCATCCAGTTTGTCGACTGGTGTCCTACTGGATTCAAGGTTGGCATCAACTACCAGCCCCCGACTGTTGTTCCCGGAGGTGACTTGGCCAAGGTGCAGAGAGCGGTTTGCATGTTGAGCAACACCACCGCCATCGCCGAGGCGTGGGCTCGACTGGACCACAAGTTTGACCTGATGTATGCGAAGAGAGCGTTCGTCCACTGGTACGTCGGTGAGGGAATGGAGGAAGGGGAGTTTTCTGAGGCCAGGGAGGATCTGGCTGCTCTGGAGAAGGACTACGAAGAAGTCGGAGTGGATTCGGTCGAAGAGGGTGGAGAGGAAGACGGTGAAGAGTTCTAAAAAAATAGGACTACAAAGGAACCAAGTAGATGATTTGCGGCGGAATATAACTAATCCATGAATTGTCGAAAGTTCTGTATTTGAACTGCTAGTTAAAGTAAACAAATGTGTCAAAATTGAAAATGACTTCTACCTTTTGAAATGATTACTGATATGCGGCTAAGATTACTATAATTATGCATGTCTATGATTGATTTGGATCTGATTTGATTTGGATTTTGTAACTGTTGGGCTTTTAAGTTGCTGCAATGTAAGAAGCTGTGCTTTTGATACTGTGCAATACAAAGAAACTAAAATATTATGTGCGTTTTTGCTTTTAAGTTGAAAGGAAGGTACTGATTTGCAAAAAAGGAAAGAGTAGAATAACCGATAATCAAACTTAATTAGCGTGTCTATAAGATGTATGATTTTTGCACTTTAAGCATCTTTCGAATGGTGAAAAAACGAATTGCGGAAGTACCTAGGAGTTTGAACCTAGAAGTCTGGTAAAATGGCTTTTCATTTAACTCTGTGAAAGCATGAACAAATTAGCATGAGCGAATATTACCATCTGAAAGTAGAGCAGCCGTGGCCGAGTGGTTTAGGCTCACGTCACACAACCTGACTCTTAGGCACGCGTCGCCTAGGCACATTTCATCTCCCTCCCCCGAGGTTAGTCCTGCACTGAGCAGGACCGGTGGCTAATAAAACATCTGAAAGCAGACTTTGCTCGAAAGTAAAGAGAAGATCATGTAAACTTGAGCTAAGCAAGTTTATGGTAAGATCTGAACAAAACCTAGAACCCGGATTGACCAAGAATGCTACTCATTCAATTTTTATGTATGTAAAAATGCTTACCATACACACTTGTTGCGACTCAAGTACTACAAAAAATTGAAGATAACAAATGCAAAATCCTTTTTTTGGATCACGGAAAAATGCTTATCAAACAATTTCCAAATTTAAAAAATCACTAATCAATGTTAATGCAATTTTCTGTAGGTATGGAATCGCATTTTTTCATACATGATTTTGGAGGGGCAACTGGTGCTGTCGCCTTAAATACGTGCGATGTTTCATTCATCGTTATCGGGGTACAAACTGCAGGAGTCGGCGTTGCGGTCTATAGAACTGGTTGAAGTAAATATGATGACCTGCAGGAGGCGCTGTCGAAAAATGGGCGCTGTGATTTAAACTCATAAGACTCACTCGCTCGCCTTTCTTGCTTTTGACACAAAAGCTAAAAAAAACATTCTCAACACGGAATACTTTTTGGATTTTTTTGATTTTCGTTCGAATCACTACTGAAAAAACTTCAATTTGATATTTCAATCAGCTTTTTCTGATGATTGTTTGTGGCAAGTTATTTTGCCTGGAACACAAACGGAAAAAAAACCAAAACACATCCAAATACAAAGTTCTTCCCATTTTCAATTGTCGGAACAATAAACTATACTGGAGATATGGGTTGCCTTTTTCTAGACCGATCAAAAAGTTGAAGTAACACGAGGCCTTTTAACAAACTCATACTACAGAAAGTTCTTAAACTGAGACGCTTAATCATTTAAGTACGAACAGAAAACATTTTGTTAATGCCTATTCGTTAGCAAATATGCTGAAATAGGCGATAATTTTGCAAGAAATTTTGCAATCAGTAATATAAATTGAGCGAATTTATTAGGGGTTCTACTGTATGACATGTATTCCATGAAGCGTCACTCGTACGATCTATCGACGCGTTTTTACCTGTTTGAAAACCAATTCAAACCATGACGGTGTTTTTCAAGGGCTATAACTCAAATGCACTTCATACTAGATACAGTGGAAGGGATCTTGTTAACTTTAACTACTCCCATCCCCTTTCCAAGGGGATATTTGTTACAAGGTACAAAACTCAGATAAGCTTAACTATTCAAACCTTCTAAATATGGGATGGTGGATTCGTTCCAAGGCACTATAGGAAAATGCGAGGGGAGATAGCGAACAAGATCCCAGTTCAAATTGTGTGTCGCTTACTGGATTATAGCAAAGGTACTAACGTGGCGGAGTGAAATTGTAAATTGACCCACAGCTATTGTACGGGAATGTAACAGATTTTGATGGGGCAACTGGTGATACCGCCTTAAATACGTGCGATGTTTCATTCATCGTTAACGGGCTACAAACTGCAGTTGCAGGTTCGGTTTATAGAACTGGTTGAATTAAGTGGGATGACCTGCAGGGGACGCTGTCGAAAAATATCCAGTAGGAGGAAGTAAATTCAAATACGTTGACGGAAATTTTTCGAATTTAACAGACATGGTGGGATAAACATTAATCCACTGGTTTGCAACCAAAAACCGATGGGGTTATATCTCATTTTTATTTTTATTTGACCCATTTTCGCCGAATTTCTGCTGAGTATTAGGGCCGGCAGCAATCTGCGTACGGGATTTAGGAGTAATTGGCATGCCTCAAGCCCCATGCATCATTGTTGAAGACAAACCACCTAATTGGGCGTTACATGCAGGAACGACATCCACCAGGTCGTAATACTGAACTGGATCTAATCCAGAAGTGTATGCGGTCGGTTCGGTTACGGTAAATGCTATATTCAAGTTTGGCGCATTTTCCACCAAAGTTTCTGTGCGTTTTTCTGCTGTTTCTCTATGAGAGCTTGCCAAGATCTCATGCATCAATGTTGAAGACAAACCACCTAATTGGGCGTTACATGCAGGAACGACATCCACCAGGGCGTAATACTGAACTGTATCTAATCCAGAAGTGTATGCGGTCGGTTCGGTTACGGTAAATGCTATATTCAAGTTTGGCGCATTTTTCACCAAAGTTTCTGTGCGTTTTTCTGCTTGGCAACAATGACGCCAAGACTATGAAGCAAGACACCATAGTCGGAGTCTTCTCCCTCGACTTCTTCTGTTCTCAACATAGCTACGTTAATTCTTTTTCCGTTGCCTGGAAGTGATTGAGACTCGTTTACTCTGATCTGTTACCCTAGATCGATGTCAACCTTAAGCTTTTTCGGAAATTTTCAATGAAGCCCTTTCCCCGCTCGCCATAAAACGGAGCTTGCTTGTTTCTCAGATCGTATATCATTCTTAGCTTTCTGTCTTACTTCATCGTGTCGTTTCGTCATCAGGTCAAGCCACTGTTCCAATTTATCACAAATCTTATCTCTATTAGTAGCTTTTTCGACCATTTGACTAATCTGATCATTCATTAAAGAAAAGCCTTGTTCAGGAAATTATTCGCATTTTTGATGCAGTTTTCAAGAATAACCTTACGTTTTTTTTATATTCTATGGCTTTTTGAATGTATTTATGAATATTGAAGAGCTTAATTCCCAATTTACGCCGAGACTCAAAAAGCTTCTGTACCTTGCAGTTTAAATCCTGGTTCATTATAGCAAACTTATAAATACACTTTTCATTTCAAGAGAGGGACAGTTTAAATCTTAATTCAATGCAAAAAAAAACAAAAAGACATGAACGCACTGTAACACGAATGCAACAATCAATACGACCTTTACAAGACCAAACTGCCCAGCTAAACACCTATATGTTTCCGCTAGATGCTTCTGCAATTTGACCAAAATGAGTTTATTGCTTGAAAATCGCGCGTTGCTTTTTATGCATTTTCTCCCCCCCCCCCCCCCCTTAGCTCTTGCCGTACCCGCGAAGGATCGGGAATGTTTTACTTCTAATTTATCGGGCTGGTGTAAAGGTAAGTACTTTTGTCGTAACCGCTTGTCCTTAGCTTTACGTTTTGATATCAAATAATTGACTATACTGGTGGTTAGAATACCTGAGTTATTTACTTTCTCAAGTATTTCCTCAGTTCCCGTGCGTTGACAGTTCACAATGGCACTAATTTTACCTCGGTAATTTTTCACGGTGGCTGCAAATTTATCTTCGGACAAACACTTTAAGTTATTGCAGCGATGCCTTCTAACTGAATTAATAATGACGCCGTGCCAAATCACGATGTTCGAGTGATTGTATAAAAGTAACTTAAAACTTATAATAGTGTTGTACAGCCCTACGGAGGCCGACAGCGTTTGGATTAAAACCTAGTTTAGTTATGGTTAGATAAGTATCAGCAAATTAATCAGCGAGTGACGCGGGTAACTTTTTTAGCGCGTGATACACAGAAATTTCAACGAAAATAAAAATCACTCTTGGTTTTACACCAAATAACGGACGCTGCGGATTTATATATTTCAAGAATTTCTTCTACTTATCTTAAGGGGCGTTGTATAAATTAATTCGAAGTCCTTTTAACGACTCTGAGGTCACTGGAGCTTAATCTAATTTTTATGACCGTTTTTTTCTATAATTGATATAGGTCAGACTGAAGTTTTCAAGCGTTCCGTTCGAGGGCGTTACTTTTTCTAAAAAAAAGTCCATTTTCAGCTCATTTTTTAATTGATTTTTGACGTTTTTTGGGGGTAACAAATTTGTTTCAAAATATAGGCCCAAAATCTTACAAAAAGTCATAACACTTGCTATTATATAGGGGTCCAAGTTTTTGGCCAATCCTTTTCAGCAAACATTTGAGTCACTTGCTTTTTGAGTTAGGGTATTTTATCGAAAAAAGTGTCTAGTACCCGTTGCCGTGTTTTGCCATTGTGCACTTTAGTCTTTATAAACAGCCTCAATATTTAGCACTCATAAATCAGCAACAAAGTTCTAGAAATGAAATAAATTTCAAGCTTTGAGTTTCAAATTCATTGTCTAATTTCTCGACTTTTTCGACAAGATAGAAAAAGTGGGTTGGGTTTTTCTTACGGTTTTTAGCGTTTTGAGACAATCAGCCGATACTCAATTTCTGAGCATCTGGTCACTTGCGCTGCTCGCCGCTATTTGTGCATTCCATCCTCTGTCGAAGCACTGGTCACAGTGACACTCCAGTGTTCTTACCCCTCACTCGATATCCGTTGACTAAGCTGCAAATTCTTCGATTACTGCTTAAAAGTGATATTTAGTGGCTCTTCAGTGGGGAATTGACGCGCGGTCTCCAATGTGACTGGCTGAGATGCTATTACTACACAGCCAAGCAATGTTTGCCTCCAATTACTGCTTTAACTTTGTCAAACTGCTTCAATTTTGATAAGTGCTGCTTGAATTCTGCCAAATTGCTCCAAATGTTTCTAGAAAATGGCCCAACCGCGTACATCATATGCCGATATACCAATCTCTTCTAAAGGACGTGCAGGAATTTCCCGGTTACTAGCACTAAAAATGTGCTGATGAAATACTTCAGATGCTTTAAACTGTATTTTGAAAAAACGGACAATCGAATAGTTTTTGGCAGAATTGGCTTTTTATTAGGCTCAAAACAGCATAATTTTTTTATGTTCATGTTTTTCAATCATAAAAAAGACACGTTGAATCAACACCAATTTTAAGCGTGTGATCAAGTCCACAATTTTAGTAAAACACGGTTTTGTGAGACAAAAACCTGTCAATCAAGGTTGGCCAAAGCCGTTTTATGAACTAAATTGATGAGTTTTACTTAAAAAACAAAAAGGATTTTAGCGGGGGGTTTCGAACCGAGTTAGGAAGGTGCGGAAGTGTTTGAGGTCAATAATGTAAGTTTTTTGAGGTCAATAAGTAGTTGACTGCTTTATAGTTCATTTTTTGTGCTGTAAAAACAAGGTACTAAAAAACTATACAAGGGGGATAGTTAACAAGATCCCAGTTCAAGTTGTGTGTAGTTTGCTGGATTATTACCCTTGCCATAAGCTAGGTGTTGCAATCGGGTACTAGAATTTTCCCCCTTAAACAACTTTATTCACAAGATTTCGCAGAAGTTTCACCTTGCTTCATGTTATATCCAAAATCAATCAACCACTCAGCGATTCGATTTATAGGCTTGTGATTCTAGTCCGGCCGGGACCTCTTTGTTGAAGCTAGAAATTCACTGCTTTTTTGGTCTCGTCCGTTTGTTTGTTTTTCTGGTTTAGTTTGGTTCAGCTTTCTTCTACATTCCTGAATGTCATTTTCGAAAACTCATTGATGGAGGCAATTGAGATTCCATTTTTTATGCGGACTTTTAGTTTTATTTTTTGATTCATTTTCAATAAAAAAAATTCTTGTGCCGTTTATTTACGCAAGCAAAGCTTGTGTTATAGTATGATTATCTTTTTTTCCAAGCCAAGTCGAAAATATTGTTGCGATAAAAAAGTGTTCATTTTGATCAATAACTAGCTGTAAAGTATAGCCAATGTCAGGGATATTAAAACAGACTATTATTGTTCCGACTTTCGTAACAAAATTAACGGAATATTTGTGCTCGGGTGTTTTTTTTTTCTTCAGACAAATTTCGACTTTTTAACTAGCCATTTTTGACGAAATTTTTTATATCATTCAAAAAGTATTGTTAACCTGAGCTTAAGGCAAGCTTATTTGACATAATTGATTTGTTGCTAGGAGCGAAATTTATCACTTTGTACTTAATATGGCGTGTGGCGGGATGATTTTCACAAAAAATCTCAAATTAAAAAAAAAAGTCGTTTTATTTTTGTTACATTTTTTCATGTTATTACTGCTTCATACACTACTCTATAAATCGAGGCATGTTAGTTGGTAATTTTTTTTCAAATTGACTGGTACTGCTAATGCGTCATAATTAGCGTGCGTCACTTCAGAAATTCAGTTTTTCCCCAGTAGCGTTATCGGTCATGTTTTTGATTGTGTATGCGTAGTGCAACTTTGCCTCTGTGTCAATTTTTCTTCACATAACAGACTTTTTATAAGCTCGCTTGAATTACAAATCCATTCGAATCCATATTTGTGTTTTATGTTTAATTTAAATTTACCAACTCAGGTTCGGTTTATTTTCATTTTGTTTGCGTTTTTTGTTCGCTAGGCTTAATGTATTTTTTAAGCATTATTGTTGTTTTTACGATTCGCAGAGGACCTATGAAAAGCTATCCAGCCTGTCCAAGTCCGTTTCTCTTATTTCTCTACATTCCAGACCGAGTTTATTTGTTAAGCGAAGCTCTTTTTATGCGACTTAAGGTCGTTTTTTTTGCGTCTAGAACGTTTACGTGTTCCAATTTTGCATCCGAAATTGGCAAAGGCTGAGGTAGACCTGAAGCTAGAAGTCAATTGAGCGCTGGTCATCACTAAATATCTTTGCTATGGCAGGGGATCGATTACACGATCTGACGAAGAACAAAGTGAACGCCTTAACACTATGCTAAGTGCCTCTTAATTTTTTTGTTTCATACTTAATCGGCTTAGTGGCACCATATTGCATTGTTAGATGAGCTAAACAAATTTTTGCATCGTTGAATGAGCTAAGCAGATGAGCTAAACAAGTCCGGGTGAGTCTTCTGTTTTATATCTTTGAAGTTTCTATGAAAACATTTTTTTATTTTTTGGCTCAACGGGTGTGTGCGCAAAAATTGTCGGTTTTAATACCGCTTTGTTTTGATGCAAATTGTAACTTTCAATTTTCTTATTTGTCATATTTTTCAATGAACTTTATTCAAGGTAAAGATATGGAAACGTTGGTAGATCTAGCTTTTCTCGACGTTTTTAAACCTTATTTTCGACTTTCGTCTCAATTTTTAGCTGCTAGTTTGTCATGCTATGTTTGTGTTGTATCGCAGGGGGTGCGAAACTTTGCTTCGCCTCCGTGTATTTTTTTATTTTTACGGCTTTATTACAATTTTTTTATAACTAGTCAAGTTCCGAGATTATTGCATTTTTTTCTCATTATTAGAATTTAATTTGTGTTTATATTTTTAATAGTTGGCGCTGTTAAAAATTTTCTGGAAGTAGTTGTGAAAAGTTTTTTGTTCATTATTGTTCTGCTTCATTCCTCGTGATTTCCTACTAATGCAGCTGGTTCCCCGCCCAGTATTTTGTATATAGCCGCTCTTTGCTTAGAAGTGCACAATTTTTCGAAACTGTCCGAAAACTGCTTGAGAGCAGCTTCATGTGAGTCTGTTTTCGAGGCATTCACGACCAATTGGATCGCAGTTTGACTTGGGTAATCGGCTATTCGTTTTCCCATTCGGACTTTGTAGCTTGATGGATCCAAAATAAGGCGCAACAAAGACTCTCGGAAAGGCTCGGCCGTTTTTAAGAGACTGAATATTTCTTCGACAACTATCGGAACGCTTTGAATATCTTGATTACACTGATCGCTGCTCAAGAACGCCAGTACGAAACGACACACAGAAGTAAGAAGCGCTTCGAAACTTTTTTCCGTTATATTCATTTCACCATAGCTGTTTTCTGTTTGGTACACGTAAAATTTGACTAAATCTCGACAGGCGTTCAGAGATGTCAAAATTTCGTTGATTGTGAATTTTTTAACAGTACCGCAAAAGGTTGCATGGTCGTCCACTAGATCTTTTACATACGAGCATGTCGTATTGTTGATTTCTGGAATCAGAATGTCAATTGCATAGATATAGATATCGGAGAACCTTGAGCTATCATTAACATGACGCAGATAGTTTCGCAAGGCATGAATTGTGAATTTGTTATTCAGTCCTAGAATCCGTTTCAGCATTAGAAAAACTTGTAGTTGAACAAAATCGTGATTCAAATCTTGGAAAGCTTTTTCCATTTCAGAGATGTTTTCGAACTCGCTTTGTTCTCCAAATTCGAAAAGAGGCGTTTCGATCGTTTTGGGAATTTCTAGATTCACTCTTAGCTCCGAAGCCCGTTTTAGAAGAGCTAGTGCTTCTTCGGAAAAAGTCTTCTTCAGAAGTTTGGAACAAGCAACAAGATCGAGAAATTCGATCTTATCTGCTCCTGTAACAAACTTGGACTGTTCGGACTCGGCTACGTAATTTTGCATGATATAATCAATTACGCAATCCGAACCGTTCATGGCTGCATAATTCAATAAATTCTCGCCTGACTCCGTTTTGTAGCATAAAATTTCCGGGTTTTGTTTCAGCAGGAAGTCGATTACATCGCTCGATTTGTTGGTTACGCAATAATATGCAGCCGAATATTCTTTTACGTCATAGAAACTATGGAAGTCGGCTCCGTATTCGACCAATAGTTTCACGACATCCGCATGCTCATTTTCACAGGCAACCATTAAGGGAGAAACATTTCCTTTTTTGGCAAGATCAATTGAAGCCCCAGATTCGATGAGAAATTGTACCATGTCTAGGTTCCCAGTTTTGCACGCCGAAATGAGTGCCGTTTCTCCGACGTTCAAATTTGTCGAACAGTTGATTTCCGCTCCATTTTTAATAAGATGGGCAACCACGCTTAGATATCCCATTGCTGTCGCAACATAAAGAGGCGTGACATTTTTCATCTCCAAGTCCTCTAGTTCAAAATCAGCATTGTCACCGATCGGAAAATTAAACTCATCTGTCAAGGTTTTGACAACCGAGAGGTTTCCGGTTCCGCAAGCATGATGTAACAAACCTCGTTGACCAATTGAAAAGTTTTCTGGTTTCCAGTCCGAATGCGATCCTTGGTAACGTGTTATGTAATCTCTGGAGGTCTTGTTTTGCCGATTTTTCACTGAATCGAAGAGTTGCAGCAGCGATTTGTCGGCTGCGCCTGTCTTAGTTTTCTTGATCCAAGAGTTGAAGTTGGTGAACATTTTTGTGTGTTATTCAATGTTATTAAGAGCTAAGTGAAAAATTGAATCTGATTTACCTGTTAAACGTGCACGTTGGTAAATTTTATGTTTAATCAATAATGCAACTTGATTTATATGTTAACCGATATTCGTAAATTATCAAAGATCTATAAACCGCTGTGAAAAGAGAGTAAGCTTAAGCTATCTTTAATATCGGTTACACTTCAAACGATGAAGGCTTTGATATCTTTCCTTCTGAACGAATTTAGTACATTTTGAGATGGGTCCTATTTGGAGTAATTCTAGATACAATACACCGTCTTTTTGTCGCACTATCTATTTTCGATCGAATAGGCTCGTGCAACTACTTAGTCCAATATTGATCCTACCTATAATTGTTCCGACTTTCGTAACGAAAGTAACGGAATATTTGTGCGCGGGGTGGGTTTTTTTCTTCGGACAAATTTCGACTTTTTAATTAGCCTTTTTTGACGGATTTTCTTATGTCATTCAAAAAGTATTGTTGTCCTAAGCTTGTTTGGAAAATTTTTTCACCTGTGATCGTTTTTCGTAAAGTTATGGGGTTTAAATATTGCCATTTTGTCCGTAACGCGCGATATATTTCGCACTATTAACGCGTAAGCGGAGTCTTAATCCTTTTTAGAAATGGTTCCAAATTGGTTCAAGGAAGCTTATATGCTACAATTGATTTGTAAATAGAAGCGAAATTTATCACTTTGTATTTAATATGGCGTGTGGGGGGATGTTTATTGCAGAAAATCTCAATGCAGAAAAGAGCAGTTTTGTTACTTTTATTTTCTAGGTCTTACAAAATCCTAAACATTTGTAAAACGGTTCATTTTTGAGATCAACTTAAACAAATCTTTCTAAAAACGGTGTGTTTTGTAAAAGTTAGTTATGGAATATGATTTATGACTATTATAAAATTATATTCAGTACAAAAGATAAAAAGCGCGAAGCGACAAAAGTAAACGAAACTCCGAACGGGTCTCAAAATGTACTTCAAAAGTTTATGAAAATATTTTGCGTGTGGGGGGATGTTTATTGCAGAAAATCTCAATGCAGAAAAGAGCAGTTTTGTTACTTTTATTTTCTAGGTCTTACAAAATCCTAAACATTTGTAAAACGGTTCATTTTTGAGATCAACTTAATCAAATCTTTCTAAAAACGGTGTGTTTTGTAAAAGTTAGTTATGGAATATGATTTATGACTATTATAAAATTATATTCAGTACAAAAGATAAAAAGCGCGAAGCGACAAAAGTAAACGAAACTCCGAACGGGTCTCAAAATGTACTTCAAAAGTTTATGAAAATATTTTGCGAGGTATCAGCTGCAGGATGTGACACAAATAGTTGCTTTATGCAATTAGGGCAAAACTTTCAGATCAAAAGAATGTTAACGTGGAAAATTTGAAACAAATTGCAGCAATAGTCAACGTTCAAATGTAGTAGAATTGTTGGGGTAATTGTCTGGTAAAAAAGGCGTTGAACTGAGCTTCTTAATAGGTCAGCTGGTAGCTATATGTAGATCTGCTGTAAAGATTGAAAAGTTCAAATTTTGTAACAAGGCGCATTGCCGGAAAATTAATTTAAGCTCAAGAGTTTTGGTTTAAGGTCGCCGGTTGACCTGCCCTATGCTGGCGAGCTCACAGCACGTTGGCGCGACTGCGGCCGTGAGTATTGCCAGTTAACTTTTTTTTTGCAATTTCTCTATGATTGCGAGTTGTCTTTGTAGCGAGTTGTTGGGCGCAGATGCGGAATGGGCGCAGATCATTGTTGTAACAATAGTTTAAAGCTCTGATTATAGTTGTTCTGAATTTTTCAAAATAAAAGAAGCACAATGTTTTACCCGAAAAAAGATATTTTTTCTTCTTCATAGTAAGTAAGAAAAGGTTAAGCGAGAGAAAACTGGTATACCGTATGTTTATCGCAAGTAATTGCTTTTGGCTTTATTTCATGTTGTCAATAATACAAGCCCAAATCAATGTACATTAGAAGAAAAAAAAACGCTTTTGTCGGCAGTTTTTCTACTTTTGTAATGTTAACTCCTACCAAAACTGTCATGTTTCAACTTTCCAATCTGCTGTAGCTGCAAAAGGTTATAAAAAAATCTACTTTAGCCCAAATTCATGGTAAACATTTTAATAAACTGCTGGTTTCAAAGCGAAATTCTGAGTGCCTCAGCTATCACCCAAGGTTTGAAAGTTTGTTTTTGGTAAGAACAAAAAAAAAGAAAAAATTCGAATTCAAAAAAACAATAAGCTTTTTACAGTTTTTTAGAAACATTTCTCAACCGTATGATGGTTTCAAAAATTAAAAAAAATCAGTTGATTACCCAAGCACCAAATTAAAGCAAGGTTTATTTCGCTACTGAGGAAACTTTCATTGATTCAAATTAGCAGTATAATTCAATTGAAACCAACTTGTCCATAAATTACAAAAAAAAATTAATTTCAAACGATTTGCGTTTTAAATTATTACGCAGCCTTGAAAGACTACTTTTAGCAGTTTTTACTCTTTTGTGAGATAATAAAAAAAACATTTAAGGGAGTCATTTATTAATTTGCTCATCAACAACCCGTTTCTTTGATTTCTTTTGAGTAAGATCACATATGTCAGCAGCTATCCAAATCTCTGCCAGCACCCTTACTCCAATTATGAAAACTAATAGCTTATTTTTACCTCCTTGGATTTTGTTCTGATTTCATCTTAAAAAAACTGTAGTAATACACCTAATTTAGACTAAAACAGGAAAGCTTTTTGCAAGCTCTCCGTTTTTTCTTTTTTTTTCCTTATTTTGTTTTTTTTCAGGAAGAAAGAGTAAATTAAAATGAAAAACTAAAAGCGAGAACGTTTTCAAACTTTCTTTAGCTATCGCTTCAAATAGAATAAAATTGAGACTTTAGTCTCTCATCGAATTATTTATAAAAATGGTGTCATTTACTCTGATGAACTAAAAAAAATCACATTTTATTATAATTTATCATAATTTATTTTTTAGTGGCAATGTTTTGAAATTGTTTAAGGAATTCGATTCACGACCAATAGCGTTTTGATATGATACCCGGCTTGAGCGTCTTCGAGCTTTCTTTGAAGTAGTCAAAATTCAGAACAAAACATACGTAGCACATAATTTTTCCATATTTTGCTAAGTAATCAGCTCAAAATTTGTAGCCGGTTGCTCTCCTATTACTAAAGAATGATCCCATGGCACTGACTTGAGAAAACTATTTCAAAAATACAAAATTTAAAAAAAACTGTCAAAATAGCTTGAGTGATATCTCGAGTTAGAGTTTTTTGAGCCGTGATTCCATAAACAAATAATAATTTTTTTAGTGTAGAGAAAAAGTTCTTTTGAAAATTCTCAGAGCAGAGAAACTGCGGTTCGAAATTTTTGGTTTTAGTCATATCGAACAAATGAAATGAGCTAGTAGATGTGATAACAAAGCAATCTTTTGTTTTGTGCTCGGTCAGTAAACCGATGTATCAGCAACTTGCAAACGGGCAGACTAGATCAGTAAACGGAAGTTGAAATTTTCTGGTCAGCAAATCGAAAATTAAGAAAAAGTTGTTCAGTAAACCGAAAATGTATTTTTCAAAGAGCGAACGTTTTCAAACTAACAAAGGTTACGATTGGTTGACCATTAAATTTGCTAAGAGGTATGCGCAACATAGATTTAAATTAATTTCTTGAGCGAAAGATTGATATATTGCAGTCAATAATGGTTAAAAATATTTCCATTTAATTCGTTGAACCGTTTTTTATGCCAGTTCGTATTTAATATGAAAATAATACGTCAATCAGTTATGTAATTGTTTCATAATTCGATTTACTGATAAGGTAATTTAATGATACAGCCCTTTTATTTTAATCTAAAAAATTTAGTTTTAATCCAGAAAAACTAGCATTTGAAGTTTCGTATATCACTTCGCGCAAATCTTCTTTGTAAAAAATCTAAAACTAATCTGTTAAAAATATATGAAGTAAAAAAAAATCGTAATTTGTTTTGTTTTTGTTATTAATTTCAAGACAAGTGTAGTCTACTTTGCCTAATATTCGATTGTTCTAAATTTTCGTTTTGTTCGAAATTTGTTTTTTAGATTTTTTAAATGTTTGTTGTCTCGTTCTTTCTGTGATTCTTGCACAGCATCCGGTTACTATTTTTAAATTATGGACATAAATACATCTGTAAGATCTGCTATTGGTCATTTTGGAAGCAACAGCCAACATTCTTCAAAAAAATGTCAAAATAGAATTTTATTCAGTTGAGAAACATCGTCAATTCCAAATTCAGAATCTGCATCTGAAGTAATTAAGTTCCGGTTTAAAACAGTCGGTCGAATCGATTCATGATTAGATCTGATTCTGTCCAACGAGTTTGATCTCTTTCTTAATTGGTTAGAGAGTTCATTTTTGCTACGTAGCCCATTTCGAAAAGAACCATTCCGTGATAACATTTGTTGATTTTTCCCACTACTTTCAGGATTCGATTTTCTACCCCTTGAGATCGAATTTTCCGCAGAATCATTTGAATCTTTTTGACCTAAAAGTTTCCCGGACGAGGGTCCCAACGCAAAATCCGATAAGTTTGTCGAGTCGTGGGTTGTATTTGATAACTGAGCTAGTTTTCCTTTAGGCGGTTTCGACGTTGTCGGTTTAGTTGTATGTCGGCTTACTGAGACACTTGTTTTTTCTCGTGAGTTGGTAGCTGATGCCGAGTTTACAGCCGAAACAGTGAATGATGTTTCGAATTGGGGCTGAGCAGCAAGTTGGGATGCCATTTCAGGCAGACCTCTAAAATCAAAACAAATAAGCGAAGTTAGCGACCAGAATTTTTGTGAAAATATTCAATTTTCTAATTTGCCAGAAGTTTCAAATTTGCCAAAAATTTTCTATTTTTCGTTATCAACTCAGTTTCAAAATTTATATACTCTGGTTTTTTCATTTACCTGTTATTTCTAGCCGGATATTTCACCCGTCGCTCCGGATTTCGTTGCAGTGGAGCAACTGAGGCTGCGTCACTCTGGCCGAATATCGTGAGCACCTCATCTAGCCGATCATCGTTCCCACCGTACCTCTCAACTAAACCAATATCTTCAGTTTTTCAGTTCACGTTGAGAAAAAAGAAATTCACGTCCAAATTAAAAGTTTCGACCACCCACTCTCGGAATGTGGTCATAACCAAAAGTGATTTATTTACAGAATTGATAACCAATTATTGCTACAGTGGGAAATTTATGCGCCCTGTTACTTGAACAGCGGCAAGTCACTCTTGTTAATCATGGAGACTTGAATTTTTTCAAATTTGAAAAAATCTTGCCGAAATTGGATCGACTCAGAAAAATGCGCACGTTCATTCTTTTTTTTCCTGCCGGAGAAGTGTTTACCTTTGATGCGGGATCCAGTCGGCGCCGTTTGTACTATTTTACTTCTAATTGTCTGCTTATTGGCAGTCTTAGTGGTCAATTGGGACAAGTTTGACTGATTATCGGACTGTTCGACTCTTATTGGCTCAGCACAAAGTGGACAGCGATCTGATTGGTGCAGAAGGTGGCCATCGATGCATGATTGGTGGAATTTATGTCGGCATGGAAGACGGCGTATCGCTTGGCCGATTCGATATACTAAACAAATATGCAATTCGCTCTCGAAAGATCAAACTACTTTTTTTCCTACAATTGCAAAAAAAATTTAAAATAGATTAGATCGATTTTTTTTGGTTCGGCTGCTAAAAACGTATACGTAAATTAGGTTTTGGAGGAAATGGACTTTTTAGTTTTAGTTAATTGGCTTGCTCACCCTAAAATTTTTCTAGGCGCCTTTGGAGCCAACTTATACTAATTTTGAGTCCGCCGAGAAAACGCGATTTTTTGGTCAAAAAAGTGCCAAAAAACAAAAACCGCCTTTTTTTCTTTAATTTGTTTTTTTTCCTTTTTTCTTTTCCTAAATAAGGTTTTTTTAGTGATTTGGGAGAGCTCCGAAAATCAATTTGTTCGACCTAAAAAAATGTCGACAAAATTTTCAGATTTTTTTTTAAAATCCGCCCTTCCCCTCGAGAAAAACCTACATCTGCCCCTGTGTGGGATATTAAAAACTCTTTTCAAAATTTCACCTTGTAGACATAGATTGCACTGCATTCCTGGCTTAAGCAGGTGTACGTGTTGTTTTCTGATGGTCATCGAAGGCAGCAGAGAAATCGTATGTTCCGACAGGGTGGAACCTTCTATAACGCATAAAACAAACGTGAAACAAATAATAGTACAACTCTGCAAAGACATTTTGGAGTTATCATTTTAGATGAGTGTCAAGAAAAAATATATTTCTGCCAGAAAAACGTAGGAGTCGTGAAATTGATTTTTAAAACGCAATGGTTTTTGGCTGAGTTTTTGTTCTGCTTTTTGTTTTCTATATTGAGAAAAGTGCTAAATTTTTTCTTACCATATTGGTTCGCGTTTGGCTGTCTCGCCGGTTCGTCCAACTGCAACAGGAGATCGTAATCATTCTCTGATAGTTCTCTGTTTTGCAGTCCAGAATCAACTAGGAGTTGAGTGACAGTAGATGATACTCCGGCCGAAATCCCATTTAGCAGAAAACCACGGTCCACTGGATGCCATCTAGATTAAACAAATATCTTATTCCTTTTCAAAAAATCACCTACGTTTTATCCTAAAAGTAAGCGGAAATGTAAGACCCCACTTTAGAACGAACCAATAAAAACAGCTCAAAAAGTTGTATCTTGTACTTAAATCATCAGATTAGTAAGTTTCAAGGCGCTCAGAGATTTAAAAAGACAATTTGGACCCCCCATCTTTAGCTTTGACCTAAACTATAGACCTATAGACTCAAACTGAACAAAAAAGAGAACCAGGTTCGAGGGGTTCGACTTTACTTTTCATAAGCTCAAACAAAAATGGCTCCCAGAAATGAAAAGTTTTCAATGGCATACTAATCCTTCTTCTGGTGGTTCTGACCTTTCGTTGACCTTGTGTCTCATTTCAAAGTGATGATGGGTGTGTACATTGGAGGCGAAGCAGTTGCCACACAAGTGAAAGTCAGAGGAACATATTCTGCACTTGTAGCATTTGCCCTCTATTGGAGTCACGCCACAGTTCCTACCTAAAAGTGTGTGAAAATATAATTCATCAATCATATAAAAAAAGGTTTTTCATGGCACTAAGGCTATCTGAGAACTTGAGGCAAACCTCGACATCAGTACATTCTGTTCTACCCAAAAAGCAACCGGGGGCCAGTTGAAGCTGGAGGTACCTGTATCATATTTTTAGAATATTTTTTACTGGTGAGGGGTTGAATGCGTAATATATTAGCCGCTTATGTATATGGCATGCCTACGAACCATTCTTTTAATCTGAATTTAATATCAATAGGGCAGAGTAATTTTCTAGAAAAATGGAAAATCTTCCGAACACGTTAAAAGATTCGAAAAATGGTGAAGTCTCAAATGGCAATGGTCAATTCGGGCGTATCTGCGTCTGCAGGGAAAAACCTCAACCAGCTGTCACTTTGATTATGAGCTTGATTTTAGATTTATTGGGGAAATTTTTGAGATAACTAAAAAAAATTCCAAACACGGTCACAAAAAAGAACAAAATTGGTTTTTTTCAACGGCCATAATCTTTTGCTACAAAAATAGTACAGAGCGGGTTAAGCAGAGAATAATCCCATAACCTTAAATTTCGATTGGACTATTATTATGAGAATTGGTAGAGCAGTTCTCGAGAAAAGTGAAAAACGTTTCAAAAAAGTTAAACCTGGAAGTTTGACTTATTGGAAGGCCATAATTTTTTTCTTAAAAATTCTAGGGCGCAGACGCTTATGCAAGAAAAATTTTTGCATTCCGCAAATAATTGCTTGGATTCAATTTTTAATATCAGATATAGCAGAATTGTTTTTGAAAAAAGTGAAAAAAAATTCAAAAAACAGTCAAGAAAACAAAAATTTGTTTTTTCCGAACATTATGTGTAATGAAAAAAATGGGCGTAACTTCTTATGCAAGTGAGTTTCACACAACCAAATTTTTTTGATTGAACTAAAAGGTCAGAGTTTTTTGATAGCCATAACTTTTAATTTGAACAATTTTGAGCGCAGCTGCTATACATAAAAATTTTCCACAACCCTTTCGATCTTTTGAGCCCAAAATCTCAGATAAAAAAAAATTGTTTCAAATTTTACCCCACAGACTTTTTCGAAGGCTGTGGAAAGTGGGGTCAGGTGAAAAGAGACTGAAAGATTGTTTTGGCACACAGAGGAGTGGGTGATCTTCTCTTTGGTGACATCTTTTTTGGAAATCGAAGATTTAGGTTTTTTTCAGAGAAACTAAAATTTTTGGAAAAATGAAATCTCACTCACTTTCATAATACCTTTTTTATCCAACAGGAATTGTTCGATTTGCTTGCAAAAAATACTATCAAAGTAGCATGGTGGCCACTTGCTTAAAAATCGGCTTTTGAATCTTGAACTTGTATTACTAAAAAGCTCAGAATATTAATTTCAAGGTCATTTTCGCTGTTTGGGTGGTACATAATGTGGTACATAATGTTCTGATTTTGACAAAATCAATCAGGAAACTCAAAATTACAAAGATAATTTCCGAAATGATTTTTTTAAGCGAAATAGGTATGAATCTTTTAAAATGAAAAAAACATTAATTAATAAAATTAACCTGTAGAAAAATTACAATGCTGATTGATTATTTTTTGCAACTTCGTCTGAAACGTGTAATTTAGATTAAACAATGAAACAATGCAGACCAACTTTTCTCGACACTGAGAGGACTTTTCTGGAGTCCGAATCGAAGCCCAAAAGTTTTTGATGAGGTACTAAGCCATAGTACCTACCAAGTTTGAAGCAGTTACTATCAGCCAGAAAAAAACAACCCATGTTTTAGTTTTTTCCGTAATTTGAAACGCGGACAGTTAACGTGGTCAATATATTTCAGTTTATTGTTCCCATTTCCTAGAACATTAAAACAAAATAAAAATAATTTGTGCAGATAAAAATGTTGCAGATAAAAATCTTGATAATAAAGTCAAGAGCATTCACAGACAAATTGAAATAAACTTGCGAGAGTTCTGAAAAACTTTGTAGCTTGCTTTCAGGAACGTCGAATCCCATATAAAAGCCAGTTTCTTGTAACTAATAGCAATTCAAAATAAAATAAAATTTTGAATACAAAATCAATGTTTGATTCCCCAAAATTTGTGGAAACAATCGAAAATTGTGAGAAATGAGGGTGAATGACAAGCAAACGTTATAGATATTGAATTAATAACCAGCAAAACAAACAACTAAAGTCTTTTTTTTGCGAAATCGAACGAAAATAGAACTAACTACTGCAAAAAACTGATTCAATTTATTTCCTTCTAATTGGGTGCATTGCTTGTGTGCTTAGCGTTCTTTCATAATGGCCTATTAAGTTACTGTCTGAATCAAAACCGCCGAAAAAATTTATAGAGCAAGGCTTATCGTCTTCAGAAATTTTTCCTTAAAGACCTGCTAGGCAAAAGTGAGTGATAAAGATTTGCATTTTTCAACAAAGAAATTTTCAGAAAACAAAACAATGATGTTGAAAACTTGTACTTGTTGTTCTCAGCAGCTTTTAATCCAATGATCGAGGAACAGATAATCTACAGCAATACTACGAATTTTTCTAATGCTAATAATGTTCAATTTATTTTGAATTGAGTGTCTTTCGGCTGTACAGGTAATTGTGGCTGAAAATCGTGTTCATCGAATTTTGTTCTGCTTTATCGAATTTCGTTCTGCTCATTTTAAGTTAGTGAAGCATGAGTGGTTTTGCATAAATCTTCAAAAATTTGCAAAATAGTTTCTTTAATTATTACAAAAAGAACTCATTTTCTGAGTAGGTTTAAAAACCTCTTCCAATTAGCTCGATTCTATTAGAGAATGATATTAAGTTAGAAGATACGCCAAAGACACAGTTTTTGTGCACGAATTTTTCAAGTAATCTCTTACAATCTGCGACGCTTGACGGCAAAAGATTGAAAAGAAAAAAAAAGATTTTCAAAAATTAGCAAAAAACTATCTAACTGAAGTTGCGAAAAATCTACCAATTTCTCCAAATAATTTCTACTGGGCTGAAACTTTCCGTTACCAATTATCAAAAACAAAGTAATTTTTGAAAATTTTCAAACAAAATGTTTTTTCTAAATCATTAATGCCTTCAAATTAAAGACTCCTACAAGATATGTTGACATGTGTGGTTGTGTTTCTGACTGCTCCTCTGGTTCCTCCTAGGTCTGTCTGTGCATTGTGCAGTTCCTCCAGCAGACTCCTCAGAGTGCCGAAGGGGGCCCGACAGAGGGGACACTCGAGACAGTCGCCACTCCCAGAACTGCTCTTCTGAAATAGTCAGACGATGCAACTTAATTAGATTCATAATTTAATTCCAAAATAGGTCCACATTTCTCAAATTATTATTATTTATAAATAATCATCCTAAAGGAACTCAGTCTGGGAGAACGTCGTTAGATAAAGTTTTAATAGGGCTGGTGGTGTAGTACCATCGTTATATTTTTTTACGATACTCAATTTTGAAAATTATCGAATTACACGAAGATTGCTATTCTTTTAACTTCCTCATAAAATTGTCTTCATGCAATTTATGAATTTTGTAATTTTCATGTTTACTCAGTTGTAAAAAAAATGACATCAGGACAGATAAAATTGGAGTTAGTCTCAAAAATTAAATTACTACTAATCAAATTCCTTTTCTACGAAAGAGCAGCAATAGCCACTTCAGGCTGTGTGCGTCAAATAAACTCAACATTGATAAAAAATCTACTTTGTTGTTTTATGCGCCTTGGTGAATGCGCTTTAGTTTTATGTGAAAAAAAGCGCGCCGATCACATTTACAACTCTAAGAAGGTGCCTCTGTACTAGAAAAAAATAAGCTTCCTGGGAATTCTAACTGACGAGCCTTAACTAAAAAGTTCTTTTTTATTATTTTTCTGAGACGTTTCATTGAAGTCCTCTAAAAATTGACCTTTTAACATGTTTCACAGTATTTAACATGTTTCAGTAAAAGGGAACTTCAACAAACTCTTATAGCGGTTGAATTTCTCGAGTTTAAAGCACTTCAACTGACCTGGTATGATGCCCATGACTTCATGCACTTGATGTGTATGTTCTGACCACAGCCTATCTTGCAATAGGTCACGGGTTCATGTCTGTTCATCATATTATTCACTCCAGCTGGAGATGACTCACTCTTAGTGCTGTTTTTGTTGTTGTTGTTGTTGTTGTTGGTGTTGTTTGTATCCCCGTGGGTGAGAAACTCCTCCTGGCAGATGGGACAGGTGTCATCTTCTGTTATTTGTCTCTGCACCAGACGGGAGTCTATGAAAAATATGAGTCATTCGATGATGAAGTGTTTCAGTTTTTGTATGTTGGTATAAGACTGAGTCTGTCAAATCTTGTCAATTTAATCGAAAACTTGAGCAAACGTAGTTAACGCGTATGCTTTTGACTGCTCTTTTTTAAAACTAAATTCAGTCAATTTTTATTGTTCAGATTATTTGAAAATTAGGGAGAAACTTTTTATTCGGGTGTGTTTTACTTTTTGTCTGTTTCTTTTTCTTTTTTTTTGTTTTCCACGCAAAATCAGGTACAAAAATAATCATCGGAAATGGTTGAGACTATCAAGATTAGGGTCAGCCCCGAAGAAGTGAAAAAAAAAAAAATCATAATAAATTGTTTGCAAGTTCGGTCTCTACATAATCAAATGAAGAAATAAGGAATCTTTTTACAAAAAAAAACAATGTAGAGAGTGCGCCATAAGACTAATAACTATAGCCTGTTTGCAAGCGTCTGAGATTTAAAAAAAGACGTACCATTTGCACCACTGGGATCGTCAGTTGAGTTTGGATCTTGAACCTGTTTTGATTGATCTCTCCTAGCAGTCCTGGCTCTGCAGTAGTGTCCATTAATCACGGCCTGCAGTTCCCTCTCCACTAGTCCTAGTTGAAATCCGACAGGGTCAGTCCTGAAATTAAAAAAAAAACTCAAAACCACCCCATTCGCAACTCTGGTTGCCAAATTTTTCCAAAGGGTGCCTGTTGAACATTTGAATTTTGGGCTCTTTTTCCTTCCGAATTTTGTTGTGAATTTTGTTGCGAAAAAGAGCCGAATTTTGTTGCGTTTGTCTCGATGGTAAGATAACCATCATAGAATCGGTTGCTTGATTTAACCTTTTTAGTAGTTTTAACAAGCAGTTTAAACAGCAAAAAATAATCGAAGTTTCTCAGAAAGCATTAGTTAAGAGGTTAATAGTTGACCCTTACTGGACTTCGTACAAAATTTTTATTTGTGCAAATTTCTGCGATAGAATCTGTGTAAAAAATTCATCGAAAATACCTTTCTACCAGTCTTGTGAGAAAAAAATAATATGAATGAGAGTGGAAAAAAAAAGAAAAAAACTCTTCGTTATCTCACCTGGGCACTTTAAACTTCTTGAGTAGTACCCAGTAGACGTGTCTGCAGCACTTTTCCTTCTTGAATGTCTTGCACGAGCAGTGGTGGGGGTCTCCCAATAACACTTTGCATCTCTCCTTTGCTTCAGTGTCCATCAACACAAAGCCAAATGGACCTGAAAGTTAGGTTAGAAAATGGGGAAAATTGGTGGCGCTTTTCCATTACAGCCACCCTGAAGCCTTCAAAAAGTAGGTAAAATAAGAGTGTAATTTGTGGGGCAGGGGGTTCCAGGATTACATAGCCAGGGGAAAACCTTGAACTTCCTGTTGCATAGCCAGGGGAAAACCTTAACTTCCTGAAGATTACAGGGCAACCCTTGACATCTAGGAACCCTGGCAGGAAGTCTTAGCAAAAAAATCCTTTTGAAAACCAGACCCGGACACGTGCTAGATATCCTTCCCGGAAATCCAGGAAAGGTTCATTGATTTTTTAGTCGCTGCAAAATTATTTTTAGGCTCAAAAAATATTTTCAAAAAAAAAATTGCATGCAAAAATGTATTTTTTTTGGCGTATTACATCGTCCAGGCTCAGACTTGTTTCTATTGTTGTTGTTGTTTTCGACTGGTAAAATAAGACTAAATTTGACAGAAGAAAAATGTTTTTTTTTAAAGCATAAGCCTTTTACTTCCACTGAGAAGTGAAATTTGATATCTTCAATCACTGATATTCGCAGCTTTGAGAACACGCAATGATTTTAATTACTTGTCTAAGGCTAGTTAAGTTCACAAAATGCAGTTTTTATGAACTTTCTGCAGATATAGATTTACTAATGAAATCTTTACATGTCAAAATCATGTTAATTAAATATTTTTTATATCTTCCTCAGACATTTGTCTCAGATCATACAATTTTTGCGATCAAATCAAATTACGGTCAAAAATTAAACTTCTGGACAAAATAGTCAGAAGTTTGTTCATAATTCATTTGGTTCTTTGTTTTGTTGTTTGGATTTTGTTCAAACTTTAATTGAGACTGCATATAGCCTTTTGTGACTGAGCGCATTTGTCGAAAACAAAATTTCGGCGCTTCTCTTCTCCAACCTACTGACTTTATACAAGTGATTTTATCAAGACTTGTCATCTGAACTAATTAAGCCACGCAAACATTTTTGGTCTTGATATTCAACCATGTAAAACTCGTCGGTACATTGTGAAATTGATTCTTATATGAGGTTTTTTTTTGGGTGGGGGTGGTGAAAAAAAAGCCTTCAAAAATGTCGACCTCGAGTTTTTGGGCCTGATTCACGGGCTGACCAAGGGGCTCTTTTCCAAATCCGCTTCGATATTTTTTGAAACCCAATTTATGAAAATTAAACGTTAGTTAAATATTTGAGTTTGGTCGAATTATCAAAATATACATTCTGTTAAATATAAAAAATTATCTTAATCGAAATGAACTCAAAATGAGCTAACAAGCTTTTCTAGTTTAATCCCTTGTAAGGAAGGAGTGACCTGAATGGAAGCATAATTTAGGGAAACACTTAAAAGAAGAAAATGTCTTTTAGAAGAAGATAAACAAAGAATTTCATTATTTCCACTTCACATAAGCATCAGTTTTATCGTGAAATTCTGGGTTTTATAAAGTTAAGTATGGCTCTTTTTCCTTCCCCCCCCCCACCTCACACAAACATGAATTTTATAGTCTAACGAGTGGTTTTACAAGGTTAATTTTGTTATGGCCTAATCAGTCTGCATGTCAATTTTCATGACAATCGGACAAAGCGAACAATAATTTCAAATTGAAAAGTTTGCAGGTGGGGGGAAAAGGAAAAAAGCCTTAAGTATGATTACCAATTACGTTTGTCGTGAAGTAATTAGTCCGGATGCCAATTTTTGTAGCAGTTAGAAAATATGGTGAACAAAATTTCTTTAGCAAAATTTTACAGGTGGAGGGAGGGGGTTTGGGAGGAAAGAGCCGGCCGTTGGAATGAACCCTATAGTGATTTGTTGGAACTTCAAATCCTTTCAGTCTCAAATTCAATGACAAAAAAAGTTTTTTTTACGTCTAAGACCAATTTTCAACGCTTAAAGAATACCTAAGAAACTTCAAAAACTGATGGTATAGCAATGAGCTCAAGGCCGCCGATAATGCCACCTAACTGGTATCAACTATAAATTGACAGCCTACTAACCGGTATTCACACATTTCGCCCCCACACATTTCGCCCCTAAAATGTACATTAAGAAAGTGGCGGTTAATTAACTGCAATTAGTTAGGGGTGAAACGTGCGAGTACGAAATGTGTGAAATTATTAGGGGCGAAATGTGTGAGGGGCGAAATGTGCCACTAGATTCAAAAGGGGCGAAATGTGTGTGGGGCGAAACGTGGGGCTTTCGTGCTAACATACATGTGTGAGACATTCGTGCTAACCTGTGGGGTGCATGAGTAATATTCTGGTGTTGAGTGCCTGGTCCTGGTGCCAACTGACAGCGTCACTCACACTTCTTTGATACTCTGCCACACGCGCCATATTAACTTATGTTAATAACTAATGACAAGTTAATAACTTATGCTTATAAATGATGATAGGTATTGATAATGAAACTTGAATATGACATAATAGTTAGGGATCAGTTTGAATAAGATCCGATTTATCTGCCGGCACAAGTAATAAACTGTGGAATTTGAATGAAACCTTATAGAGATTTAGCGCATCATGCGTGCTGTAGTTTTTTTCAAGCAAGATGGTATGATTTTTTATTTACACAGTCACATATTATTTGTACTATAAAAGCGACGTTTCACCTGTGTCACAGAAAAACAGCCATTGAAAAAAGCAATCATTTTGAAAATGTAGTTAAAAAGCAGGCACGTGCGTGCATGTTTAAAACCATAAAATCAAAATGTGCAATTATGTGCCATGCGTCAAAAAAAATCACTGCTTGCCTCATTTCACCTACCCACCCCAACGTTTCAATTGCAATTTTGAAAAACTGTTTCGAAATTTTCACAAATCAAAGAAACCTGGGCAATTTTTCGTTTCTTGCCTGCAAAATTTTAAAAGCTTTTTGTCAATTTTTCCGATTCTTATTAAAATAGGCATGCAGACTATCTAGGCTATCAAATACATGTTTGGTCAATATAGATTTGGTATTAAACCAGGGGCGGATCTAGGATTTTCTTGAGGGGGGGCAGATTTTCAAAAAAAATTTGAAAATTTTGACGACCTTTTTGTTTATAGGTCGGCCAAATTGATTTTCGGAGCTTAAAAAAATTGCGTTTTTTAGGCGCGCGCTCCCCCTCAAAGTTAGTATATATTGGCGCCAAAGGCGCCTTTAGAAAAATTGAAGGGTCCGTCACCAAAAATGGATTTCTTAAAAAGTACCAAAGGGGGACCTTTTGGGTCGGCATGGGGTCGAATCCCTGAGGGGGAGGACGTCAACCTAAATCCGCCCCTGTATTATACTCACCCGGCTCTTTTGTCTTTCCCATATTACATAATCATCAACTTTATGGTGTAAGAAGTGTTTTACAAGGTGGTTAATCACGAAGACCAAATATGCTTATTAGGACTCACCTAATCCGCCACGTTTGACTAGCTTTAGCTATATATTCTGTCGACTGACTTGTCATTTTTTGTTGAAAACAAATTTCTGAAACACAAAAAAAAATCATTTTCAAAAAAACTCGGCGGTAATAATTTTTTGCCTCAGTTGCTTTCGAAATAGAAATTTGAAATGGTAACTATAAAAATGTAATTAAAAACAAAATCAGAACAATTTTTGGGACAGTTGTACGTTGTCGAATAAATTTGGCTTAATCAATTTTGTTAGTTTTTCTTTTTCTCCCACTTCTCAAAACTATGGCGTTTTTGGGTTAACGAGGGCTTTTATAAAAGAAAGTACGAATTCAAGTTTGTCATTGCCTGATGAGTGCACGTGCCATTTTTTGTAAAAATTGGGCAACTTGAGCAAAAAGCTATTGATATTTATTTGCAGGTGTGGAGATAGGATGAGAGCTTCAATTTAAATACATTTAGTTCTCATAAATTTTGAATTATTTTTTCTCGGGTATAGTTTTTCTCATAGTTTTTAGGCATTCCTTACGAATTCATGAATCGTTTTACATTATGAAAAATTTTGATCTGAATGGTAACTTTGTATGGGAGTCATGCCTTTGGTTAAGTTTTTCCGTTTTTATTACTCTTGCAATATGCAAGGCAATTGCTATTGGGTACTAGACTTTTTTCGGTAAAACAAACTTTGTTCACAGGACTCATCTCCCGGAGCCTGGACTCACTCATATACTTCTTTTTTTTATGAAATCAATTTCAATCAGCCATCTGGCGCATCTGGCGAAAAGGTAGCACATCTGCTTGAGACGGCATAGGTTTGTAAGTCGAGTTCGGCCGGGACCTGTTGTTTGGCAAATTTGAGTTTTTTCGGACTACCGTCCGTCTGTTTATTTTTGTCGGCTTAGCTCCCTTAGCCCAATTTTTTTGAAATGTCAGCTTTTTTTAAAATTGCTGTAACGCCCATGTTTGGAAAAAAAGCTTGGGTGCTCGATTCCAGACTGGAATTGTTATTTTGCGAACTGAAATTTTTCGGTTAATTAGGGTTTTTGTCGGTTTGTTATTTTTGCCGACTTAATTTTGCAGAAGAATGTTTTGAAAAATTTGGCCTCTATCTAGCATTTTGAAAATTCTTTGTAAAGTTTCTAATTGTGAGCGTAATTTTGCATAATTGTGTTCCGGATAGTTTGCGTTTTTGTTGCAACGTTTCTATGCAAGTTTCTATGATAAAAACTATTTTAAAAGTTTTTTTCTTCAATTTTTGATATTTCGTTTCAATGGATTTTAATCACAGTCAATCCTTTTTGTATCGCAAATGGTGCAAAGCTCAGCTTCGCCTCTGTGTCAGTTTTTGAAGTTTGAGTTTTTTTTTTTATTTTAACACAGAGTTGATTGTTTTTTTCTTATTTTAACACAGAATTGATTGCTTTTTTTGCTGTTTTGTTCTGCAATTAATTGTTTTTGGCGATTGTGGAGAAATTAAACTGAGCTCAAAAGTGATTTGCGTTTAGCCGAATGATTAATAAATTGCGATAGCAAGTGTCTTATAATCGTGAGCTATATATTTTTGTCTGTATCCGTCTTTGTTTACCAGTAGTTTTGTATTCCGGGCATGTTTGCATTGCATGCGTTCAGTGATGTCAATAGCTGATCCTTTGTCGTGAATTGCCGCCTTAAACGACTTTAAAAAAATTATCCCTTTAGCTACTTCACTACTGACATCAGGACAGATAAAATTGGAGTTAGTCTCAAAAACTAAATTACTACTAATCAAATTCCTTTTCTACGAAAGAGCAAAAATAGCCACTTCAGGCTGTGTGCGTCAAATAAACTCAACATTTATAAAAAATCTACTTTGATGTTTTATGCGCCTTGGTGAATGTGCTTTAGTTTTATGTGAAAAAAAGCGCGCCGATCACTTTTACAACTCTAAGAAGGTGCCTCTGCACTAGAAAAAAATAAGCTTCCTGAGACTTTTTACTGAAGAGCTCTAACAAAAAAGTTCTTTTTTTTAAATTATTTTTGTGAGAAATTTCATTGAAGTCCTTTAAAAATTGGCCTTTTTAACATGTTTCACAGTATTTAACATGTTTCAGTATAAGAGAACTTCAACAAACTCTTATAGCGGTTGAATTTCTCGAGTTTAAAGCACTTCAACTGACCTGGTATGATGCCCATGACTTCATGCACTTGATGTGTATGTTCTGACCACAGCCTATCTTGCAATAGGTCACGGGTTCATGCCTGTTCATCATATTATTCGCTCCAGCTGGAGATGACTCACTCTTACTGCTGTTGTTGTTGTTGTTGTTGTTGTTTGTATCCCCGTGGGTGAGAAACTCCTCCTGGCATATTGGACAGGTGTCATCTTCTGTTATTTGTCTCTGCACCAGACGGGAGTCTATGAAAAAATGAGTCATTCGATGATGAAGTGTTACAGTTTTTGTATGTTGGTATAAAACTGGGTCTGTCAAACTCTTGTCAATTTAATCGAAAACTTGAGCAAATGTTGTGCGTGCGTACGCTTTTGACGGCTCTTTTTTAAAACTAAATTCAGTCAATTTTTATTGTTCAGATTATTTGAAAATTAGGGAGGAATTTTTTATTCGAGTGTGTTTTACTTTTTTCTTTTTCTTTCTTTTTTTTCTTTTTGTTTTGCACGCAAAATCAGATAGAAAAATAATCATCGGAAATGGTTGAGGCTATCTCGATTAGGGTCAGCCCCGAAGAAGTGAAAAAAAATAAAAATCATAATAAGTTGCAATAAATCAAATAAAGAAATAAGGAATCTTTTTACTAAAAGAACAATGGACAGAGTTTGACATAAGACTAATAACTATAGCTTGTTTGCAGGCGTCTGATAAAAAAGACTTACCATTTGCACCACTGGCATCGTCAGTTAAGTTTGGATCTTGAACCAGTTTTGTCTGATCTCTCCTAGCAGTCTTGGCTCTGCAGTAGTGTCCATTGATCACAGCCTGCAGTTCCCTCTCCACTAGCCCTAGTTGAAACGCGACAGGGTCAGTCCTGAAATAAAAAAAGTAAGAGTTTTAATGAACCCAAAAACGTGCCGAGGGGTCGGGAACTACCCCATTCACAACTTTGGTTGCCGATTTTTTTTAAAGGGTACCTCTTGAACATTTGAATTTTGTTGCGTTTGTCTTGCTGGTAAGATAACCATCATAGAATCAGTTGCGTGATTTAACCTTCTTAGTAGTTATAACAAGCAGTTTAAACAGCAAAAATTAGTCGAAGTTTCTCAGAAAGCAATAGTGAAGAGGTTAATAGCTGACCATTACTGGACGTTGTACAAAATTTTTATTTGTGCAAATTTCTGCGATAGAACTTGTGTGAAAATTCATCAAAAATACCTTTCTACCAGTCTTGTGAGAAAAAAATAATTATGAGGGTGGAAAAAAAGAAAAAAGCTCTTCATTATCTCACCTGGGTACTTTAAATTTCTTGAGCAGTACCCAGAAGACGTGTCTGCAGCATTTTTCCTTTTTGAATGTCTTGCACGAGCAGTGGTGTGGTTCTCCCAATAACACTTTGCATCTCTCCTTTGCTTCAGTGTCCATCAACACAAAGCCAAATGGACCTGGAAGTTAGGTTAAAAAGTGGTGAAAAATTGGTGGCGCTTTTCCATTAGAGTCACTCCGAAGCCTTCAAAAATTAAGTAAAAGTAAGTGTATAATTTGTGGGGTAGGGGGTTCCCGGGTTATATAGCCACCGTAAACTCTTGAACTTCCTGCCAGGAACTTAAAGAGTACAGGACAACCCTGGACTTCATGGCAGGAACCATCCAGGAACCCTGGCAGAAATCATCCAGGAACCCTGGCAGGAACCATCCAGGAACCCTGCCAGGAAGTCTTAGCAAAAAATTTCTTTTGAAAACCAGACCCGTACACGTGCTAGATATCCCTCCAGGAAATCCAGGAATGTTCATTAATTTTTCAGTCGCTGCAAAATTATTTTTAGGCTCACAAAAAAAAAACATTTTCAAAAAAAAGTTTTCATGCAAAAATGTATTTTTTTGGCGTATTACATAGCCCAGGCTCTGAGCAAAGAACCAACCATGAAAAATAAGTGTTTTACGTAGAATCATAACTTGTTTTTTTTTGTTGTTGTTGTTTTCGACTGGTAAAATAAGACTAAATTTGACAAAAAGAAAAATGTTTTTTTTTAAGCATAAGCTTTTTACTTCCACTGAGAAGTGAAATTTGATATCTTCAATCACTGATATTCGCAGCTTTGAGAACACACAATGATTTTAATTACTTGTCTAAGGCTAGTTAAGTTCACAAAATGCCGTTTTAATGAACTTTCTGCAGATATAGATTTACTAATGAAATCTTTACATGTCAAAATCATGTTAATTAAATATTTTTTATATCTTCCTCAGACATTTATTTGTCTCAGATCATACAATTTTTGCGATCAAATCAAATTACGGTCAAAAATTAAACTTCTGGACAAAATAGTCAGAAGTTTATTCATAATTCATTTGGTTCTTTGTTTTGTTGTTTGGAATTTGTTCAAACTTTAATTGAGACTGCATATAGCCTTTTGTGACTGAGCGCATTTGTCGAAAACAAAATTTTGGCGCTTCTCTTCTCCAACCTACTGACTTTATACAAGTGATTTTATCAAGACTTGTCATCTGAACTAATTAAGCCACGCAAACATTTTTGGTCTTGATATTCAACCATGTAAAACGCGTCGGGACACTGTGAAATTGATGCTTATATGAGGTTTTTTTTTGGGTGGGGGGTGGAGGAAAAAAAGCCTTCAAAAATGTCGCCCTAAAGTTTTTGGGCCTGATTCAGGGGCTCTTTTCCAGTTCCGCTTTGATATTTTTTGATTTTTTGAAACTCAATTTTTAAATTTGGTCGAATTATCAAAATATACATTCTGTTAAATATAAAAATTTCTCTTAATCGAAAGGAACTCAAAATGAGCTAACAAGCTTTTCTAGTTTGAGCCCTTGTAATAACACGTGAAACAAACATAAAACTCGGTATTTTGAAAGGGTAAAACTGGAAAAGAGCCATTTAACTGGAAAAGAGCCATTTAACTGGAAAAGAGCCATCAGAAAGCAATAGTTAAGAGGTTAAGAGTTGACCATTACTGGACGTTGCACAAAATTTTTTTCTGTGCAAGTTTCTCTAATAGAATCTGTGTAAAAAATTCATCGAAAATACTTTTCTACCAGTCTTGTGAGAAAAAAAATAATTATGAGGGCTGGAAAAAAAAGAAAAAAGCTCTTCATTATCTCACCTGGGAACTTTAAACTTCTTGAGTAGTACCCAGTAGACGTGTCTGCAGCACTTTTCCTTCTTGAATGTCTTGCACGACCTTTTTGTTTATAGGTCGGCCAAATTGATTTTCGGAGCTTAAAAAAACAGGTCTAAAAAGCGGTTTTTGGGCACTTTTTGAAAAATTTTCATTAAAAAAATTGCGTTTTTTAGGCGCGCGCTCCCCCTCAAAGTTAGTATATATTGGCGCCAAAGGCGCCTTTAGAAAAATTGAAGGGTCCGTCACCAAAAATGGATTTCTTAAAAAGTACCAAAGGGGGACCTTTTGGGTCGGCATGGGGTCGAATCCCTGAGGGGGAGGACGTCAACCTAAATCCGCCCCTGTATTATACTCACCCGGCTCTTTTGTCTTTCCCATATTACATAATCATCAACTTTATGGTGTAAGAAGTGTTTTACAAGGTGGTTAATCACGAAGACCAAATATGCTTATTAGGACTCACCTAATCCGCCACGTTTGACTAGCTTTAGCTATATATTCTGTCGACTGACTTGTCATTTTTTGTTGAAAACAAATTTCTGAAACACAAAAAAAAATCATTTTCAAAAAAACTCGGCGGTAATAATTTTTTGCCTCAGTTGCTTTCGAAATAGAAATTTGAAATGGTAACTATAAAAATGTAATTAAAAACAAAATCAGAACAATTTTTGGGACAGTTGTACGTTGTCGAATAAATTTGGCTTAATCAATTTTGTTAGTTTTTCTTTTTCTCCCACTTCTCAAAACTATGGCGTTTTTGGGTTAACGAGGGCTTTTATAAAAGAAAGTACGAATTCAAGTTTGTCATTGCCTGATGAGTGCACGTGCCATTTTTTGTAAAAATTGGGCAACTTGAGCAAAAAGCTATTGATATTTATTTGCAGGTGTGGAGATAGGATGAGAGCTTCAATTTAAATACATTTAGTTCTCATAAATTTTGAATTATTTTTTCTCGGGTATAGTTTTTCTCATAGTTTTTAGGCATTCCTTACGAATTCATGAATCGTTTTACATTATGAAAAATTTTGATCTGAATGGTAACTTTGTATGGGAGTCATGCCTTTGGTTAAGTTTTTCCGTTTTTATTACTCTTGCAATATGCAAGGCAATTGCTATTGGGTACTAGACTTTTTTCGGTAAAACAAACTTTGTTCACAGGACTCATCTCCCGGAGCCTGGACTCACTCATATACTTCTTTTTTTTATGAAATCAATTTCAATCAGCCATCTGGCGCATCTGGCGAAAAGGTAGCACATCTGCTTGAGACGGCATAGGTTTGTAAGTCGAGTTCGGCCGGGACCTGTTGTTTGGCAAATTTGAGTTTTTTCGGACTACCGTCCGTCTGTTTATTTTTGTCGGCTTAGCTCCCTTAGCCCAATTTTTTTGAAATGTCAGCTTTTTTTAAAATTGCTGTAACGCCCATGTTTGGAAAAAAAGCTTGGGTGCTCGATTCCAGACTGGAATTGTTATTTTGCGAACTGAAATTTTTCGGTTAATTAGGGTTTTTGTCGGTTTGTTATTTTTGCCGACTTAATTTTGCAGAAGAATGTTTTGAAAAATTTGGCCTCTATCTAGCATTTTGAAAATTCTTTGTAAAGTTTCTAATTGTGAGCGTAATTTTGCATAATTGTGTTCCGGATAGTTTGCGTTTTTGTTGCAACGTTTCTATGCAAGTTTCTATGATAAAAACTATTTTAAAAGTTTTTTTCTTCAATTTTTGATATTTCGTTTCAATGGATTTTAATCACAGTCAATCCTTTTTGTATCGCAAATGGTGCAAAGCTCAGCTTCGCCTCTGTGTCAGTTTTTGAAGTTTGAGTTTTTTTTTTATTTTAACACAGAGTTGATTGTTTTTTTCTTATTTTAACACAGAATTGATTGCTTTTTTTGCTGTTTTGTTCTGCAATTAATTGTTTTTGGCGATTGTGGAGAAATTAAACTGAGCTCAAAAGTGATTTGCGTTTAGCCGAATGATTAAAAAATTGCGATAGCAAGTGTCTTATAATCGTGAGCTATATATTTTTGTCTGTATCCGTCTTTGTTTACCAGTAGTTTTGTATTCCGGGCATGTTTGCATTGCATGCGTTCAGTGATGTCAATAGCTGATCCTTTGTCGTGAATTGCCGCCTTAAACGACTTTAAAAAAATTATCCCTTTAGCTACTTCACTACTGACATCAGGACAGATAAAATTGGAGTTAGTCTCAAAAACTAAATTACTACTAATCAAATTCCTTTTCTACGAAAGAGCAAAAATAGCCACTTCAGGCTGTGTGCGTCAAATAAACTCAACATTTATAAAAAATCTACTTTGATGTTTTATGCGCCTTGGTGAATGTGCTTTAGTTTTATGTGAAAAAAAGCGCGCCGATCACTTTTACAACTCTAAGAAGGTGCCTCTGCACTAGAAAAAAATAAGCTTCCTGAGACTTTTTACTGAAGAGCTCTAACAAAAAAGTTCTTTTTTTTAAATTATTTTTGTGAGAAATTTCATTGAAGTCCTTTAAAAATTGGCCTTTTTAACATGTTTCACAGTATTTAACATGTTTCAGTATAAGAGAACTTCAACAAACTCTTATAGCGGTTGAATTTCTCGAGTTTAAAGCACTTCAACTGACCTGGTATGATGCCCATGACTTCATGCACTTGATGTGTATGTTCTGACCACAGCCTATCTTGCAATAGGTCACGGGTTCATGCCTGTTCATCATATTATTCGCTCCAGCTGGAGATGACTCACTCTTACTGCTGTTGTTGTTGTTGTTGTTGTTGTTTGTATCCCCGTGGGTGAGAAACTCCTCCTGGCATATTGGACAGGTGTCATCTTCTGTTATTTGTCTCTGCACCAGACGGGAGTCTATGAAAAAATGAGTCATTCGATGATGAAGTGTTACAGTTTTTGTATGTTGGTATAAAACTGGGTCTGTCAAACTCTTGTCAATTTAATCGAAAACTTGAGCAAATGTTGTGCGTGCGTATGCTTTTGACTGCTCTTTTTTAAAACTAAATTCAGTCAATTTTTATTGTTCAGATTATTTGAAAATTAGGGAGGAATTTTTTATTCGAGTGTGTTTTACTTTTTTCTTTTTCTTTCTTTTTTTTCTTTTTGTTTTGCACGCAAAATCAGATAGAAAAATAATCATCGGAAATGGTTGAGGCTATCTCGAATAGGGTCAGCCCCGAAGAAGTGAAAAAAAAATAAAAATCATAATAAGTTGCAATAAATCAAATAAAGAAATAAGGAATCTTTTTACTAAAAGAACAATGGACAGAGTTTGACATAAGACTAATAACTATAGCTTGTTTGCAGGCGTCTGATAAAAAAGACTTACCATTTGCACCACTGGCATCGTCAGTTAAGTTTGGATCTTGAACCAGTTTTGTCTGATCTCTCCTAGCAGTCTTGGCTCTGCAGTAGTGTCCATTGATCATAGCCTGCAGTTCCCTCTCCACTAGCCCTAGTTGAAACGTGACAGGGTCAGTCCTGAAATAAAAAAAGTAAGAGTTTTAATGAACCCAAAAACGTGCCGAGGGGTCGGGAACTACCCCATTCACAACCTTGGTTGCCGATTTTTTTTAAAGGGTACCTCTTGAACATTTGAATTTTGTTGCGTTTGTCCTGATTTAACCGGCTCTTTTCCAGTCCCCCCCTTTCAAATTAAATTTTGAAAAGCTTATTTAACGTTGTCATAATGCAATGAAGTTTGGCGTGATGAACAAATCGACAACTGTGAACAGATTTGTTCTTCTTACTTTACAGCGTAACATCACGCATTTAGCTGTAATAACACGTGAAATCGTTTGTCTTGCTGGTAAGATAACCATCATAGAATCGGTTGCGTGATTTAACCTTCTTAGTAGTTATAACAAGCAGTTTAAACAGCAAAAATTAGTCGAAGTTTCTCAGAAAGCAATAGTGAAGAGGTTAATAGCTGACCATTACTGGACGTTGTACAAAATTTTTATTTGTGCAAATTTCTGCGATAGAACCTGTGTGAAAATTCATCGAAAATACCTTTCTACCAGTCTTGTGAGAAAAAAATAATTATGAGGGTGGAAAAAAAAGAAAAAAGCTCTTCATTATCTCACCTGGGTACTTTAAATTTCTTGAGCAGTACCCAGAAGACGTGTCTGCAGCATTTTTCCTTTTTAAATGTCTTGCACGAGCAGTGGTGTGGTTCTCCCAATAACACTTTGCATCTCTCCTTTGCTTCAGTGTCCATCAACACAAAGCCAAATGGACCTGGAAGTTAGGTTAAAAAGTGGTGAAAAATTGGTGGCGCTTTTCCATTAGAGTCACTCCGAAGCCTTCAAAAATTAGGTAAAAGTAAGTGTATAATTTGTGGGGTAGGGGGTTCCCGGGTTATATAGCCACCGTAAACTCTTGAACTTCCTGCCAGGAACTTAAAGAGTACAGGACAACCCTGGACTTCATGGCAGGAACCATCCAGGAACCCTGGCAGAAATCATCCAGGAACCATCCAGGAACCCTGCCAGGAAGTCTTAGCAAAAAATTTCTTTTGAAAACCAGACCCGTACACGTGCTAGATATCCCTCCAGGAAATCCAGGAATGTTCATTAATTTTTCAGTCGCTGCAAAGTTATTTTTAGGCTCACAAAAAAAAACATTTTCAAAAAAAAGTTTTCATGCAAAAATGTATTTTTTTGGCGTATTACATAGCCCAGGCTCTGAGCAAAGAACCAACCATGAAAAATAAATGTTTTACGTAGAATCATAACTTGTTTTTTTTGTTGTTGTTGTTTTCGACTGGTAAAATAAGACTAAATTTGACAAAAGAAAAATGTTTTTTTTTAAGCATAAGCTTTTTACTTCCACTGAGAAGTGAAATTTGATATCTTCAATCACTGATATTCGCAGCTTTGAGAACACACAATGATTTTAAATACTTGTCTAAGGCTAGTTAAGTTCACAAAATGCCGTTTTATTGAACTTTCTGCAGATATAGATTTACTAATGAAATCTTTACATGTCAAAATCATGTTAATTAAATATTTTTTATATCTTCCTCAGACATTTATTTGTCTCAGATCATACAATTTTTGCGATCAAATCAAATTGCGGTCAAAAATTAAACTTCTGGACAAAATAGTCAGAAGTTTGTTCATAATTCATTTGGTTCTTTGTTTTGTTGTTTGGAATTTGTTCAAACTTTAATTGAGACTGCATATAGCCTTTTGTGACTGAGCGCATTTGTCGAAAACAAAATTTCGGCGCTTCTCTTCTCCAACCTACTGACTTTATACAAGTGATTTTATCAAGACTTGTCATCTGAACTAATAAAGCCACGCAAACATTTTTGGTCTTGATATTCAACCATGTAAAACGCGTCGGGACACTGTGAAATTGATGCTTATATGAGGTTTTTTTTTGGGTGGGGGTGGTGAAAAAAAAGCCTTCAAAAATGTCGACCTCGAGTTTTTGGGCCTGATTCACGGGCTGACCAAGTGGTTTTTTTCCCATTTCCGGTTTGATATTTTTTGAAACTCAATTTATGAAAATTAAACGTTTGTTAAATATTTGAATTTGGTCGAATTATCAAAAATATACATTCTGTTAAATATAAAAAATTATCTTAATCGAAATGAACTCAAAATGAGCTAACAAGCTTTTCTAGTTTAATCCCTTGTAAGGAAGGAGTGACCTGAATGGAAGCATAATTTAGGGAAACACTTAAAAGAAGAAAATGTCTTTTAGAAGAAGATAAACAAAGAATTTCATTATTTCCACTTCACATAAGCATCAGTTTTATCGTGAAATTCTGAGTTTTATAAAGTTAAGTATGATTACCAAATACGTTTGTCGTGAACTTATTAGTCCGGATGCCAATTTTTGTAACAGTTAGAAAATATGGGGAACAAAATTTTTTTTGCAAAATTTTACAGGTGGAGGGAGGGGGTTTGGGAGGAAAAGAGCCGGCCATTGGAATGAACCTTATAGTGATTTGTTGGAACTTCAAATTCTTTCAGTCACAAATTCAATGACAAAAAAAGTTTTTTTTACGTCTAAGACCAATTTTCAACGCTTAAAGATACCTAAGAAACTTCAAAAACTGATGGTATAACAAGGAGCTCAAGGCCGCCGATAATGCCACCTAACTGGTATCAACTATAAATTGACAGCCTGCTAACCGGTATTCACACATTTCGCCCCTAAAATGTACATTAAGAAAGTGGCGGTTAATTAACTGTGAAATAAGTTAGGGGCGAAACGAGCGAGGACGAAGTGTGAGAAATTATAAGGGGGCGAAATGTGTGAGGGGCGAAATGTGCCACTTGATTTAAGAGGGGCGAAATGTGTGTGGGGCGAAATTTGCCACTAGATTTAAGAGGGGCGAAACGTGCGAGGACGAAGTGTGAGAAATTATAAGGGGGCGAAATGTGTGAGGGGCGAAATGTGTGAGGGGCGAAATGTGCCACTAGATTTAAGAGGGGCGAAATGTGTGTGGGGCGAAATGTGTGTGGGGCGAAATTTGCCACTAGATTTAACAGGGGCGAAATGTGTGAGGGGCGAAATGTGGGACATTTATGCTAACCTGTGGGGTGCATGAGTAATATTCTGGTGTTGAGTGCCTGGTCCTGGTGCCAACTGACAGCGTCACTCGCACTTCTTTGATACTCTGCCACACGCGCCATAATAACTTATGTTAATAACTAATGACAAGTTAATAACTAATGGTTATAAATGATGATAGGCATTGATAATGAAAACTTGAATATGACATACTAGTTAGGGATCAGTTTGAATAAGATCCGATTTATCTGCCGGCACAAGTAATAAACTGTGGAATTTGAATGAAACCTTATAGAGATTTAGCGCATCATGCGTGCTGTATTTTTTTTCAAGCAAGATGGTATGATTTTTATTGACACAGTCACATATTATTTGTACTATAAAAGCGACGTTTCACCTGTGTCACAGAAAAACAGCCATTGAAAAAAGCAATCATTTTGAAAATGTAGTTAAAAAGCAGGCACGTGCGTGCATGTTTAAAACCATAAAATCAAAATGTGCAATTATGTGCCATACGTCAAAAAAAATCACTGCTTGCCTCATTTCACCTACCCACCCCAACGTTTCAATTTCAATTTTGAAAAACTGTTTCAAAATTTTCACAAATCAAAGAAACCTGGGCAATTTTTCGTTTCTTGCCTGCAAAATTTTAAAAGCATTTTGTCAATTTTTCCGATTCTTATTAAAATAGGCATGCAGACTATCTAGGCTATCAAATACATGTTTGGTCAATATAGATTTGGTATTAAACCAGGGGCGGATCTAGGATTTTCTCGAGGGGGGGGGGCAGATTTTCAAAACAATTTCGAAAATTTTGACGGCCTTTTTGTTTATAGGTCGGCCAAATTGATTTTCGGAGCTTGAAAAAACAGGTCAAAAAAGCCGTTTTTGGGCACTTTTTGAAAAATTTTCATTAAAAAAATCGCGTTTTTTAGGCGCGCGCTCCCCCTCAAAGTTAGTATATATTGGCGCCAAAGGCGCTTTTAGAAAAATTTAAGGGTCCGTCACCAAAAATGGATTTCTTAAAAAGTACCAAAGGGGGACCTTTTGGGTCGGCATGGGGTCAAATCCCTGAGGGGGAGGACGTCCCCCTAATTCCGCCCCTGTATTATACTCACCCGGCTCTTTTGTCTTTCCCATATTACATAATCATCAACTTTATGGTGTAAGAAGTGTTTTACAAAGTGGTTAATCACGAAGACCAAATATGCTTATTAGGAATCACCTAATCCGCCACGTTTGACTAGCTTTAGCTATATATTCTGTCGACTGACTTGTCATTTTTTGTTGAAAACAAATTTCTGAAACACAAAAAAAATCATTTTCAAAAAAACTCGGCGGTAATAATTTTTTGCCTCAGTTACTTTCGAAATAGAAATTTGAAATGGTAACTATAAAAATGTAATTAAAAACAAAATCAGAACAATTTTTGGGACAGTTGTACGTTGTCGAATAAATTTGGCGTAATCAATTTTGTTAGTTTTTCTTTTTCTCCCACTTCTCAAAACCATGGCGTTTTTGGGTTAACGATGGCTTTTATAAAAGAAAGTACGAATTCAAGTTTGTCATTGCCTGATGAGTGCACGTGCCATTTTTTGTAAAAATTGGGCAACTTGAGCAAAAAGCTATTGATATTTATTTGCAGGTGTGGAGATAGGATGAGAGCTTCAATTTAAATACATTTAGTTCTCATAAATTTTGAATTATTTTTTCTCGGGTATAGTTTTTCTCATAGTTTTTAGGCATTCCTTACGAATTCATGAATCGTTTTACATTATGAAAAATTTTGATCTAAATTGTAACTTTGTATGGTAGTCATGCCTTTGGTTGAGTTTTTCCGTTTTTATTACTCTTGCAATATGCAAGGCAATTGCTATTGGGTACTAGACTTTTTTCGGTAAAACAAACTTTGTTCACAGGACTCATCTCCCGGAGCCTGGACTCACTCATATACTTCTTTTTTTTATGAAATCAATTTCAATCAGCCATCTGGCGCATCTGGCGAAAAGGTAGCACATCTGCTTGAGACGGCATAGGTTTGAAAGTCGAGTTCGGCCGGGACCTGTTGTTTGGCAAATTTGAGTTTTTTCGGACTACCGTCCGTCTGTTTATTTTTGTCGGCTTAGCTCCCTTAGCCCAATTTTTTTGAAATGTCAGCTTTTTTTTAAATTGCTGTAACGCCCATGTTTGGAAAAAAGCTTGGGTGCTCGATTCCAGACTGGAATTGTTATTTTGCGAACTGAAATTTTTCGGTTAATTAGGGTTTTTGTCGGTTTGTTATTTTTGCCGACTTAATTTTGCAGTAGAATGTTTTGAAAAATTTGGCCTCTATCTAGCATTTTGCAAATTCCTTGTAAAGTTTCTAATAGTGAGCGTAATTTTGCATAATTGTGTTCCGGATAGTTTGCGTTTTTGTTGCAACGTTTCTATGCAAGTTTCTATGATAAAAACTATTTTAAAAGTTTTTTTCTTCAATTTTTGATATTTCGTTTCAATGGATTTTAAACACAGTCAATCCTTTTTGTATCGCAAATGGTGCGAAGCTCAGCTTCGCCTCTGTGTCAGTTTTTGAAGTTTGAATTTTTTTTCTTATTTTAACACAGAGTTGATTGTTTTTTTCTTATTTTAACACAGAATTGATTTTTTTTTTGCTGTTTTGTTTTGCAATTAATTGTTTTTGGCGATTGTGGAGAAATTAAACTGAGCTCAAAAGTGATTTGCGTTTAGCCGAATTATTAATAAATTGCGATAGCAAGTGTCTTATAATCGTGAGCTATATATTTTTGTCTGTATCCATCTTTGTTTACCAGTAGTTGTGTATTCCTGGTCATGTTTGCATTGCATGCGTTCAGTGATGTCAATAGCTGATCCTTTGTCGTGAATTGCCGCCTTAAACGACTTTAAAAAATTTATCCCTTTAGCTATCCTGTTGTTTCAATCACTTTAAGGGTGTGGGAAAAAACTATGGCATTTGAGTGTGCTTTTTTTCTTCCCGATTTTAATGAGCTCGAAAAAGTTTCTAGGACTTTAAAAGTAGTATTGTACTAGATTATTTTGTTATTGCGATTCGGGTTTTTACACCCTCCAAAACGTTTTCTCAGTGTCAAGAAAAATTGATCTAATTTTTTTCACCTGCCACTATTTTTTTTAAATACAATCATTACTACTAAAAATTTTTTTCTGTTATCATTGTAAACAAACCATGCTGTACTACTTGCACAGCAAACGAATCCACATGTTTCAGTGTTCTGTTAGTTTGAATGCATTAAAACTACTGTTTACACTTTTTTTTGAACTAAGAAGTTACATTTTGGATTTCTCAATTGCTACTGCCAATATTTTTCTGTTAGGTTTAGCCACCTAAGTGTACAGTAGCGGATTTAGGAGTGGGCGGGGGAGGGGTGGCGGACGCCCCTATTAGGGATTTGAACCCCTGCCGACCCAAAGGGTCCCCCCTTTGAACTATTTTGAGATATCAATTTTTGGCTGCCTGACCTTAATTTTTCTAAGAGCGCCTGTGGCGCCAATCTATACTAAATTTGAGGGGGGAGCGCGCTCCGAAAAAATGCGATTTGTTGGTCAAAATTTTCCAAAAAAATGCCAAAAAAACCCGTTTTTTGGTTTTTTTTTAAATTTGCCTGCGGCACAAAAAAATGTTTTTTAAATTACGGATTTAATACTGGTTTGGGAGAGCTCAGAAAATCAATTTTGTCGACCTAAATAAAGTCAACAAAAACTTCAAAATTTTTTTGGAAAATCCGCCCCACCCCCCTCGAGAAAATCCTAGATCCGCGCCTGAGTGTGTACCTGTTTTTTTCTAATATTGAATGAGAATTATATGGTTTTTTAATTGATTCCTGTTTTTTTTCTGGCTTTCTAATAGAGTGATTTGATAACTGTGATTTGTCAATTTGTATTCAAGACATATTTGTCTTTTTTTACTGATAGTTTTTGGCAAGAAAATTGATGGCGTCTAAATAAAGCAGAAACATTGTCCTCGAGTTACTCAAATTAAAAAGTCTCTTCTACTTTGGTTCAGAATGGACCTTAGATTGCCGGAAAAAACTCTGCTTAAATTTTGAAATGATAATTGAAGAATTTCTTGGAGCATCTCAAAAGAGACAAAATTAATTACAATGATCCGGTATTTCCAAGTGACGGTCATCGATTACCAAAATAGATTTGTTTGTCATCTGTTTAAATCTCTTATAGCTCCCGTAACTGACAACCGGGGTTGAATCGACATTTGGTTATCTTATGGCTAGAGCATTGCAAAAAATTTAAGCTAGCTGCAATGGTTTGGCTGTTTGCCTGGTTTAATTGATGACTGACTGTTTTCATCATACTTTCAACTAAATGTTGAGCTTCTGAACTTCCTGCATTGAACTCCTGACTATTCTCGTAGTTATTTGAAATAAAAATTCCCCACATGCGAAAAAAGTGTTCGAGTACTTATATGATCTCTATTTCGTTCAGGTCCAGTGCAGGGTTGTTTTCGAGCTTGTTTTGAATATCGTTGCCGACAAGAAATGTCAGATGCTGGCCATTTTATGAAGTTCTCCAATTAAAAAAATTTACCACCCAGTGAAATAAATAATGAGAGAGTGAGTGCAAACTGTATACAGTTTTAATAGAGCTGTGCTACTTTGAAATGTGTCTAAGCATTCAATTAAAAACGCCCGAACAGTATTTCAATCCAACAAAATGATAGCGGCAACCTAACTGATGCATCATGTTCTAGATTTTTTTTCGGATCACACTTTGATTGCATACCTTGTTCATGCAACTTGTTGACTGGCATCGGATCTTTTGACATGCGCATTTTTAGTACAAGGGTTCTTTTGGTTTGGCATATTTTCCCATGGGATATTTTTTTATCGTTTGTTTTTTCCTGACGCCGAATTACCTAATTTTATTGGAATGTAAATTTTGATTTAGAAAGAAACACAAACAAAAAAATTGTTTAAGCCCTCAAAGAAAACTTAATTAAACGGGTTTGCTTTTGTATAATTTCACGCCTTCTTGAATTGCAAGTGTTGCTAAGTTCCACTTTACCTCACTGTAAAAAGATTCCGTTGTTTTTCATGCTCAGTTGCTTGACAATTTTTGTTTGGGTTGTCGCAAAGACTGCTAGATTATTCTTTCGTATATGGCTTTCAATTGGACATCTGGAACATTTGAGAGCATCTGAATATCGTCGTACACAATTAAAAACGTCACGAACAATAACTTTATGATGTGGATCCTGCTAAGCGCAGAGGAGCTCTATCAGTAGGCCTTAACAGTCCGTCGAGGATAGTCCATTTGTATTATCTCCCCAAATGCCAGACTGTGTTATTTTTGTTGACCTAAGCTCTTTTTTTGCCTCTAGAAATTTCATGTGGTACCACTATTGCAGCCGAAATTGGTCAGGTTGTGGTAGACCTGAAGCTAGCGGTCAAGTGAGAGCTCATCCTCGCACACTATCGTTGCCATGGCATGGAATCGATTACACGATTTCAAAGTGAACGCCTTACCACTATGCTAAGTGCCTCTTTGAATTAAAAATCTATCAGATATGTCTGGAGAAAAAATGTAGCTGTCATAAATAATCCTTTTTTTTTTTACCTTTTTTGAAATTCAAACACCAAAAATTATAAATTACGTGCTAAAAAATAAATTATGAATTACGTGCTAAAACATGTGAAGCTAATTAATTTGGCCATAGCCGTACTTATTTCATTAATTTCGAAGATACCACGCCCATTTTTTCCGTTTCCTGAAACATCGCAAAAGATTGATAGAAAATTTTGATATGATTGGTACACTTTTGAGAGATAATTTGTGGGCGGCCTGATTTTCCACCATCCCTTACCTGTCAGAATAGATCTCAATTTCCTTCTCTTACCTTAACTGATTAACTACTTATTCAGATCAGCAAGAATCAGTTGTGATTTCTGGTTCCGCAATAGTGGTGATTTTATTTGTTCCGCTTTGTTTTTGGTGCACAATAAAGCCGTACAGAAAATGCCTGGTGGAATTCCAATGGCCAGTAATTGCTTCTTGTTTTTTTTTGAAACTGAAGTCCCCCATGGCTCAAAATCCGCGGGGTTAAAACACCCATTGATCATATTATGATTCCTTGCATTGACAAAAATCTAAATTAAGACAAAAACTAAAAGCTTATACCTTGTAGAAATACACTGCGACAAAAGCGGGCAAATACTATTTCAAAAGTAATTAATTCAATTTTTTTGACAATTGAAGCCCCAAACTCGTTTTATGTTCATTTATTCTTAACAAAACTGTGAATTGAAAGACAAATTTTATGCGAGGCTGGAATCTTAGAAATTATTTATAACTCCAAGCATTAATTTTGATAGTCAATTTTGATCATATTCGAGCAAAAAATGAAAATCGAATCAACCAGTATTTGAAAAGCAATTAGTTTCAGATTACCAAAGAAGCTGGTTAGTTTTATGTGTTGGTTTGATTGACGCAGTTTGTTTGATCTGTTTTTATTGGAACAATTCCATTCCCTTCTCTCCCGTTCCCAGCGGTCACTTTTTTCTTTCTTGTTTTCCTTATTTATTTTTTATAATGAAAGCAGTTGGAAAAGCGCTGATTGCTTTCAAGATGGAGAACAGATCCGGATCCGTTTTCGGGCCTACACAGGTAAAATCATTGATATCAGATTTTGGAACCAAAGTCTTCGATGTTTCATTACAAAAAAAATAGAAATTAAAATTTTTTGGGTTTACTTTTTGGGTAATTTGATTATTCACCTTTTCAGTCATCAAATCCAACATTTAGTCATCCAAAAACTCAAAAATTATCAAATAGTCATGACACTCAGTTAGTAATGCAAATCGCACAAACACTTGTCACTTACCTTGAAACTAAAACTGGAAAAAAATTTATAAAAAAAACCTTAGAAATTTTTGCGGACATTTGATCAAATCGCCTGCATAGTTGCGTTGAAAATTTTTGGTTGTGCAGTCTAGCAGAAAATTGCTGGCCGCACAAAATTGCAACATACTCGGGTTGACCCATCAAAGTCAAATAATTGCGAAAGTTCATTCAGAGTAACATTCACTCGCCCACATAATTATATGATAACTATAAAACTGGCAATTTTTCGCTGTGTGAAATGTGTGACAAGCATTTTGTCAAGACTATGAAATTATGCAATTTTTAACTAACGTTTTTTGACGCTCGAAACTTAAAAAAAAATTCTCCTATTGTGGGTTTTTGTAAAGTTATGGGGGTTTTAAGATTGTCAAATTGGGATAAATAACGCACGATACATTTCATGCAACTAGCTGGTAAGCAGAGGTTTAATTTGTTCTCGAATTTGTTTCAAATTGAATTCAGACATGCTAATTGTTTCAAAGAAAGTAGGGAAAATATTTGCTCGGAGTAGTTTTTTTATTCAGACCAACTTTCAAAAAATTTTCCTTTCGGTGGAGCCATTTCTGGATCTTTGTGATCACATTAGTTGATAACTCACCTTTTTGCTAATCTGATTTCACGAGCGCTGTGAAACGAGTTGAAAGCTAAATTTTGATGCTGGGTATCGCGCATTACTTACGCATGGCGAATTATTCGCTTCCATAAAATCGATAAAGAATGAAATGAGGCAAGCTAAATAGTCTGATTATTTTCATAGACGACTGAAGTTTTAATACTTGAAATTTGATATTGTCAGCGGAAAATGCATATTTTTTCAATATTTAATCAACCAACATTTATACGAGACCAGTTAATTGGCAGTCGGAACATTCATTTTTGATGCGCCTAGATAAGAACTGTTTTTTATTGGTCTGTTCAATTTTTTTCAAAATGCAAAATGTAGGATTGTGTTTTTACAAGGCAAGAAGGGGTCATGATTTTGAAAAAACCCAAAAACTTTTGTTGAAAATCTGGTGATTTTATCAAGCTGAAATTTACTCAATAAACGTTAAAAAGGCAGTCGGAACATTCAAAGCGGTGCCCTGATACGAGCAGTCTTTTTCAGTTTGATTCACGATTTATTCCCTTTCAAGTAACGAGACTTATGCTTTGTTGTGATTTACCTCATGTTTTGCAATTACTGCAAAACATATTAGTTTAATTAACTGGTCACTCTGATATGACCTTCATTGGCCATTCTCTCCGGCGGAGATAATGATCTCTCATTGTTTTAATGTTTTAACTTACCGACTAATTCATCTTAATTCCATATTCTTTTTAATAGTTTTAATTTAGAATTAGCTACAACAAAGTAACATTTTATCATGGCGCAGTCAACTAATGAATCTAACGTGAGAGGAATACCTCTTTTTTGGCAAAACCATACGGTAGACCCCCCCATTCCATGGGAAGACTGGAGTGATCTGTTTCAATTAGCTATAATTGCTAAGGAAAACATAGACATAGAAAACCTACTCAATCCGTTGGAGAGACAACACCCACTACCTCCAAATTTGGAAAAATCGACGGACGGTGAAACAAATGCTCAAAGACGCTCGAGAATGGAGAGAAATACTCAAGAACAAAGACGTTACGACGAAGAAGAAACAGCTTCGATAAAAACTGAAACCAAGAAATTTAACGGAATGCGAATAGAAGAAGCGGGCAAAAAATTACGTTCAGTCTTATATCTAGCACTGGGAAACGAAGGAAAAAGGATCTTCGGACAAAAATTCACCAAGGTGAAAGTTTTACAAATTTCTTTTAAAGAATTCTGGGAGTTCCTAGCGATCGCTTTCGTAAGAAAGACAAATGTCACATTTGAACGACATAAACTGTTAAATAGAAAACAACGCGACAGAGAATCCCTCGAACAATTTTGGGATGCTTTAGCTGAAATGGCAAAAAAGTGCGACATAACCGCAGGAGAAGAAGAGTGGATAAGAGATATTTTCATAAATAATATGAAAAACTACGACATCCAAAGGAAATTGTTAACAGAAACCCTCCCTCCACGCGAAGCACTAAATGTAGCACTCATAGACGAAAAAGGAATTCTAAATCACTTGAAGTTAACTAACAATTTTAAATCCAACAGATCATCCGTACACAAACCAAACAACCATTTTAACGTCAAAAGAGAACCAACCCTTAACATCGAAAGAAGTAACAACTGTATGAAGTGTGGCGGATCATTTTCAAAAGGACACTTAGCAGTTTGCCCAGCAAAGGACACGACTTGTACTACTTGTAAATTCAAAGGGCATTTCACCAGATTTTGTAGATCTCGTCGTAAAAATGTAAACATTGTAAATACTCAAATTGTAGATAAAACAGATTTTAATCCGTCGGATATTCCGGATGTATATACTGACCACACGGATAGAGAATGTTGTGGCGTCATAAACGCATGGTCGGAATCTGGACAAAGCGAAAACGACGATTACTCTGTACTAAATGTGACTACGATTTTTGATAACGATGGAAAAGAATTGAAGAAATTACTGAACATTGGACTCGGAAAAGAAAACCAAGTAATTTTAAACATTCAAGTGGATTCAGCTAGCCCGATGAGCTTCCTCAAGAAAAACTTACTACACGAATTAAAGTTACGCGACCCTTACTTGAAAATTTATCCGGTGGATAAGACAACTAGAGACCTCTACTGTGGATTCACAGATAATGCCATAAACATCACTGGAAAGGTGAAGCTCCCGATATTTTCAAATGTTTGGTCAGAAAATGACTGTCAATTCTTCCTAACCGAAGGACACGAGAGAAATATCTTAGGAAACGACAACCTTCCAAAAGTGGGGATAGAAGTCTCTCAGAAACACTTCCCACATTTCCAGACTAACAAACAGTGTAAGTCAATAAATTCCATCTCTCAAACAAACCAAGATAGGGAAATTCTAAATATATCAAAATCATTCAAAAATTTATTCCTTCGGATCGGAAAAATTAAAAATCAGATGAAAATCACCCATTTTCACGAACCCTTAAAACCAATACAACTAAAGGGAAGACGAGTCCCCCTTCACTTACTGGACGCTGTAAAGACAGAACTCAATAGAATAAAAGCAGAGGGACATATTAAAAAATTAGAAAATTGCGATGAAGACAGATTTATTAGCCCAATAGTCATTACTTGTAAAAAAGACAAATCCCTCAAGTTAGCCTTAGATTCCAAGTTCATAAACAAACAGATTTACAAGAACAAATATCAAATACCAAACATTCACGAATTGGTAGACAATGTCGCGGCACAAATTACTAATGATTCCGTTGGAGAAGTGTGGTTTACTAACTTAGACTTAAAAAATGCGTACAGTCAATTAGCACTGGATAAATTTACTAGCAACCAATGTAACTTCAGTATCGTGGGCGGTGATATTACGGGTACCTACCGATTCTTAACTGGTTTTTACGGCCTAGGGGATATGCCTAACGAATTTCAAAGAGTAATGGACTCTACATTAGGTTCAATCCCATTTACTAACTGTTACTTAGACGACATTTTAATCTCTTCCAAAGGAACATTCTTAGACCACAAGAATATTGTGTTAAAAATTTTATCTACGCTCGACGAATATAACTTCGCTGTAAAATGGTCAAAATGTAAATTCTTTCAAAAAGAAATAGAATAGTTGGGATTCAAAATCTCTAAATCAGGAATTACCCCGTTATTCGACAAATCGAAAGCCATAAAAGATTTACCTATTCCGAAGAATTTGAAAGAACTACGATCATTTTTTGGTTCTACAAATCAATACACTAAATTCGTCCCAAATTTAGCATCCTTAGGAAGCCCACTCCGACCGCTCCTAACGTAAAATCAATATTCCAATGGAATGACGACCATACCAAAGCTTTTGAAAAAATTAAAGAAGAAATCGTAAACCTAACGGAGAATACCCATTTCGACGTAAAACACAAAACTAGAGGAAAAACTGACGCGTCACATAATGGACTCGGAGCTTCGCTCGAACAACTCCACGGGAACGATTGGAAAACAATCTCATTTGCTTCACGCTTTTTAAACCCACACGAGTCTAAATATTCTACGAACGAGCTCGAACTACTAGGGGTTGTATGGGCTGTCGAACATTATAAGAACTACCTTTACGGATCAGATTTCGAAGTAATTACCAATCACAAAGCTTTATTATCTGCCCTATCACCAAACCACGTAAACAAAACATACCACAGTAGACTAACAAGATGGGTAGACAGATTATTTCCTTTTAATTTCACATTCAAACATATGGCAGGAAAAGACATGGGTTTCACTGACCTTATTTCTAGAATTCCATCCGGAAAAACCCTTCCAATATCACATTACGACGAAGAATTCGTAGTAGCAAATATTAACAAGATTAATAAATCATTAAATCCGTCGGAGAAGATAAGAACTACCTGCTCAGCCATTGGTTCTAATCTGGAAAATTCCGATTACGCTTTATTACGTAATTACCTAATAGCAGCAGTACTAAAGCTTATTAACTCGTCTTTTCCAATTTGTTCAATTAATCACAAAAGAACAGAATTTTGTACCTCAAATTGCATTTCAACGGATTATTCTAATACAAATACATTAATTATTTCCATTTCTAACTCCGCATTTTTTATTTTTTAATCTTTAATCATAGTTTTATTAATTCACCTGTAGATAAAAAAAATTGTAGATACTGTTAATATGAATCATAAGAATATTATAATTAATC